GTTGGAGCATCGTAGCCCTTACCCTTCTCGTGTTTTAAGACCCCCAAAAAATCGGATGGTGGACGCTCAGACCCTCTTAACGACAAGCTGTCATTGTAAAGCATTCTTTGTTCTAGAATCAGATTAATAGCTCTACCAGAAGGGAAAAGAAAACGGGGAAGATCAAGAGAGGTCCTGCAAAGAACCATCATCAGAGCAGGCTCACTCTTGGGCCTAATAAACATCCAAGACCTTAAACATGTGGCAACGAACCACCGCCAGACACGGAGAGCTATGAACTCTGCCCTATGCGCCGCCCTAGGCTTAAGAGGAAAGACTAACACACAGGAATTAAAGGTGGAGCACTCATATATTTTTATCATTATTATTACTAGTGTGCTGAATGGCAGATAAATATTGAATGTTAAATTAGGAATCGTCATCATAGCACTCGGGACACCCCCATTAGCGTTCCGTCCCCATCTTCAGAAGCAAACGAAGAGTTCCAATTCCAATGGCACTATGAATGACAGATAAATGTAATGATAAACTTGAAATACTATCAAATAAATAAAAAAAAAAAAGCACTTTTTAAGCGATTTCATTACATAGTTAGTCCCCTTGCAAAATTATTTGTGGCAAGGGTGGCTGAGTTCTCTGAAAATCTTGTGTGTGTGTGTGTGGAGTAAGCTCAACGGACTTAAGCCCCTGGGTTCCGGCGCCTAAGCTTACCGTGAATGCGTTGGCTCCCAAATCCTTTGCTTCATAAACTCAGACCCAGTTTTACGAACCGGCATCTCATACTTGGGAAACTCCCATAAGCGCTCCATCCCCATCTTCAACACCCAGCGCATAATTCCTGTTCTGATCTGTATCCGTGATAGTCTGTATGTCCACCTTGCCATTTCCCTCCGATCCCCTGGCGACTCCTCCATGCACTCTTCAGACTGTGACGATCTATTTTGTTTCCACCTTGTCCACTCGCTTCTAAAGGTATTGTTTCCCAACACACCTGCATGCCATGGTGTACATATTCAAGGAAATCTAACTACCAAGGACCTCTGAAGGATATCTTGCCACTCTGCACGGAGCAGATGACTATCCATGTCAATAGTAATGATGTTCTAACCGGACCGGAAGTACCAAGTTGGCAGTTTGCAAGTTACACGTCTAAGAGGAAGTGGAGGCCGCAGTCAGCGGAGATCTTACACTGACAATATTTAGATTGTTGCAAGCATTTCTGAGCTAGCCAACATTAACTGTTAGTAGAATCAACTGTTAATGTTTTGTTTAGCAATTTTTTTTTTCCATATTATGTAAAGATTGTGTGCTTCAGGGATTTAAGATTTTAAAAAAAAATAACGAGAATAACTAGGGTCTAGGATAGAGACTGAATTTCAATTCGCTTTTGTTAGAACTGAGTTCAGTAGTTCAGTTAGTGAGTTAGTCCGCTGTAGCTAGTGGGCGAGGTCAGACACTGAGACAACACTGGGTTTGGTTAGGATGGTTTAGGCAATGTTTTTTTCTTTAACGATCTTGTAATTATAAGACCAGCAGTGTTGATTAGACCGGACGAAAGGCCGATCATAAGCTCGGCACTGACATCTGCATACAATATATTTTTATATTTATGATAAATTCTTAGCATTCAGTCAGATGTTGTCTCCACAATTTAACAAACAATTCATTAATAATTCAGTATGAGTAATAGTTGAATCAGCAACAAGATTTGAAAGGTCTCAACTTTTAAATGTTTGCCAGTGATGAACGTAGGTAGTCAAATTTTTAAAATGCCCTCTACACCAATAAAACCAGCACAGTTAGATAGCTGTAAACAATCTCTTTCTAAGGTTGCCTCATTTAGGCTTGTATGTCATTTCTGAGCTGAGATATGTAGGTTTTTGTGGAGATGAGATGTAGAAAGCAGCTGCTAAAACTTGTGTCCCAGAAACAAGAGGTTTTCTCTGCGCACCAAACTGCGCACTTATCGTTTTGGCTTTGTTTACATTGGACAAGATGGCAGGCAATGAGACACAGCCACTGGCTGAGCCAGCGTTTGCCTGAAAAATGTCACTGTACATCTACCTAGCCATTGACAAGAAAGAAATTTTATATACAAATGTAAAATTGGACGGAGAATTCAATTATAACTAGCATTACCATGTCTAGTAACAGTTAAAGCCTAAAGCCAACCCTGAACACTTATCGCAATTTTCAATCAAACTGATGTAACAGAAAAACAGAGGACGTCCGGCTGTCGTAGACATGCGCTGTTAATCGGGTTTCTTCCCGCCGTTTTCAGATTTTTATAGTGGGTGAAAGTCACACCAATCGCAAAATTTCTTGAGAGATTAGGACCCATCCCGAAACCCCAGCCGACATTTGCGAAGCAAGTTTCGAATGGTTTCTAGGGTAACGGAAATTGCCAAAAGACCGCAAATTGCCGAACACCGTAGTCGCTAATGAACGTTCTGTTGTCCTCCTAAAACAAATCCTCATCTGTGATCTGTGGCCAGAATATTTTATTTGAAAAGATGGCTATCCTCTTAATAACGGTCCCAAATTATCGAGGCCGAAAATATACCCCAACAGGGCCTCAGTAACATGTACCACCGCCGAGAGTATCTTCCACACCGCTACGCATGGAGCAGGGCTTAACTAGATGGCTGGGACTCACGAGCAGCAGCTACTGCAGCTTCCTTTATTTTATTTGCTTGTGAGTCCCAGCCATCTAGTTTAGCCCCTCTCCATGCCACAAGTAGCGGCATGGGAGATACTCTCGGCGGTGGTGGTAGTCGCCTGAAGTCTGCAATTGACATGTGACTGAGGCCCTGTTAGAGTATATTTTTGGCCTCAATAATTTAGGACCGTTATTCGGAGGAGAGCCGAAAAGTATATTATTTCCAATTGTCATTTTCCAGCATTCACTGTTGTATATAATATTGTATAATTATAATAATAACTGTATTCAAAATGTTGCTGTTGTATAAATCATTTTTAAATTATAATTCTGAGTTTTGCTTAGAAACCTCAGTCCTGTTGACTTCAATCTTGATTCACTATTTACAATTTGTTCACAGCCTTCCAGTATATCCTCAAGTATAAGTTAACAAGTATAATTGTTAATCTCTATTTCGCGAAAGCAAGATGTTCAGCTCCTCTGTATTTACTGTTTGATTGTGTTTTCATGAAATAAGATCTATTCTTTTACATATTCACATACTAAAGACCTCACTTAAACTTTCGGATAGTAGTTGCTTGTTCAATGTTGTCTGTATTTCTAGGAGTATTGAGTATGCCTATCTTTTGACAATTCTAATTTCCTAATGCTATAATTCTCTCTAGTTATTAAGAGTTTGAGTAAAACCTCATCTCCACAAATTATGAAGTTCTGAATATCTAGTTTTTGTTTTAAAAAATGTCATGCTAACAAGAGACGAATAATAAAACATCCCTAACGGGACCAACTTTTTTTTTCCAGAGGTGTATGATCAACCATAATTTTCTGCTGGAGTTTACAGCCGGTGAACGTGAAGAAAAAGAATAGTTTACAGCTGGTAAATGTGAAGAAGAAGGAAGAAGGGAACATTTTTTGTCAGATGAAATAAAAATGTATTGGCAATAGAAAATAAATACTTTAAATACCCTATTTTAAAGCTGATTTTAAAAATATATGTCTTTCAGTTATTTTAATCTACCTATTGGGAAGCAGACACAACACAATGACGTCAATAGCAGAACAGCCATGTTACACATTGATAAATGTACCGATGGATGCAGAGCCACCAAGTGAGATGCAGCTCAAACAAGACCTAGGTAAAGAACTGCTCCCCTACTACTGTTTTTTTTTAAAACTTGAATCGGTGTTTTTTTTTGTTTTATGGTGTATTTTGTTTGTATCGTCTTATGTTTTATCTTTTCTGCAGGTGAGCTGTTATTGTGGCCAGGTTGTCTTCTTTGAGAAAACATCTTTTTTTTTTAAAATAACATTTAAAATCTAGCATGTAGTATTCTTTTTGTGTGTGTGTTGTGGTCAGTAATTGGGAGTATTTGTGAAGCATATGCTATCATCTTGTGTGAAATTGTGCAACTTAAAAAAATATTAAACTGGTTAAGAATGACATCACAGGGCTAGGGACATTCTCATAAGTGATCCATCCCTGTCTTCAGCAGGCCAGCACAAAGTCCCATTTCAGATAGTGTCTGAAACAGTCTGATTATACTAGTCAACAGATTAAAAAAAATTATTTGTACCAGAAATGAAAATAGTTGATCAAAACTAATTTTAGTGTGCTGAAAACAAAAGTGACATTAGAAAATGTTTATTGGCTCTAGTTTTAAAGATATTTGCTACTAGTTACATAATTACATTCAGTTTTTATGTATGACACAACTGTTGTGGGCGTTGGTATAATTTTCTTTTTCTAATAACCAATAAAAATATAACTAGAAGTTCTTGACTGCTGGGCTTCAGTGACTGCCTGATTGGCTGATGTCTTCTGATGTAATGTTCACTTCCTGCACAGATGTCCTGTTGACAGAGAAAGCAACAGTATTTAATGTATCCAAGCGGTAGTCCAGTCAAAGAGTGACGACCGCTTCTAATTTTCGGGAGCCACCATGGTTTAGCAGCTAGGCACTCAAAAGCGGACCTGAAGATCGCGGGTTCAGGTATCAGACAGAGCCAAACTTTAAAAAAAAAATGATTAAGCTTTCAGCTCGACCCAGCCCTAAATGGATGCCCGGTAAAATCCTGGGAAGTAAATGCGGCTGCCGTGATGCTGATCACATCACCCACCAAGTGCTGATTGGTCTGTAAAATATAGGTTTAGTCTAATATGCCTGAAGGTGTAAAAAAGGAGCCCTTTATTTTTTTGTTACATTTTTCTTAAACATAATTGTCATTAGTCTCTCAAGAACGAATTTCTTGAAACAAAGATTTAGAACTTAGGTGACTTCATGTAATGGCAATGATATACATACATTCACATGTTACTAAAGTGTTCTTACTTTTAAAACAGAAAAGGGTGATGCTCGCACAAAGATTGAAGCCCTGAAGAAGGTCATTCAGATAATACTGAATGGAGAGAAGATGCCGTCACTGCTTATGACTATCATACGGTTTGTGATGCCAATGCAGGATCACACCATCAAAAAGCTGTTGCTGGTCTTTTGGGAGGTTGTTCCCAAATACACCCCGGAAGGAAAACTATTGCAAGAATTCATTTTAGTGTGTGACGCCTATAGAAAGGTTTGTTTTACTTGTATGGTATCTTTTCATGTGTGTTTGAGAGAGAGAAGAGGGAAAGAGACATAGAGATTTAAAGAAGGTGGCAGTTTAAAAGTGCATAACCTTTCCTCAAACAGAATTGATACTTATAAAGAAAATTTACTTTTTCAGAAAGAAATTATCCTGCCAAGTGTAAAATAGTTTTCTGCACTCATTAGCGACAGGATATCTCGGCACTTAAAGCAAGCTGTCTGCACTCACTAGCGACAGGATATCTCAGCACTTAAAGCAAGCTGTCTGCACTCACTAGTGACAGGATATCTCAGCACTTAAAGCAAGCTGACTGCACTCACTAGCGACAGGATATCTCAGCACTTAAAGCAAGCTGTCTGCACTCACTAGTGACAGGATATCTCAGCACTTAAAGCAAGCTGTCTGCACTCACTAGCGACAGGATATCTCAGCACTTAAAGCAAGCTGTCTGCACTCACTAGTGACAGGATATCTCAGCACTTAAAGCAAGCTGTCTGCACTCACTAGCCACAGGATGTCTCGGCACTTAAAGCAAGCTGTCTGCACTCACTAGCGACAGGATATCTCAGCACTTAAAGCAAGCTGACTGCACTCACTAGCGACAGGATATCTCAGCACTTAAAGCAAGCTGACTGCACTCACTAGCGACAGGATATCTCAGCACTTAAAGCAAGCTGTCTGCACTCACTAGCGACAGGATGTCTCGGCACTTAAAGCAAGCTGTCTGCACTCACTAGCCACAGGATGTCTCGGCACTTAAAGCAAGCTGTCTGCACTCACTAGCGACAGGATATCTCAGCACTTAAAGCAAGCTGTCTGCACTCACTAGCGACAGGATATCTCAGCACTTAAAGCAAGCTGTCTGCACTCACTAGCGACAGGATATCTTGGCACTTAAAGCAAGCTGTCTGCACTCACTAGCGACAGGATGTCTCGGCACTTAAAGCAAGCTGTCTGCACTCACTAGTGACAGGATATCTCAGCACTTAAAGCAAGCTGTCTGCACTCACTAGTGACAGGATATCTCAGCACTTAAAGCAAGCTGTCTGCACTCACTAGCGACAGGATATCTCAGCACTTAAAGCAAACTGACTGCACTCACTAGCGACAGGATATCTCAGCACTTAAAGCAAGCTGTCTGCACTCACTAGCGACAGGATATCTCAGCACTTAAAGCAAGCTCTCTGCACTCACTAGCGACAGGATATCTTGGCACTTAAAGCAAGCTGTCTGCACTCACTAGCCACAGGATGTCTCGGCACTTAAAGCAAGCTGTCTGCACTCACTAGCGACAGGATGTCTCGGCACTTAAAGCAAGCTGTCTGCACTCACTAGCGACAGGATGTCTCGGCACTTAAAGCAAGCTGTCTGCACTCACTAGCGACAGGATGTCTCGGCACTTAAAGCAAGCTGTCTGCACTCACTAGCGACAGGATATCTCAGCACTTAAAGCAAGCTGTCTGCACTCACTAGCGACAGGATATCTCAGCACTTAAAGCAAGCTGTCTGCACTCACTAGCGACAGGATATCTCAGCACTTAAAGCAAGCTGTCTGCACTCACTAGCGACAGGATATCTTGGCACTTAAAGCAAGCTGTCTGCACTCACTAGCGACAGGATATCTTGGCACTTAAAGCAAGCTGTCTGCACTCACTAGCGACAGGATATCTTGGCACTTAAAGCAAGCTCTCTGCACTCACTAGCGACAGGATATCTTGGCACTTAAAGCCAGCTGTCTGCACTCACTAGCGACAGGATATCTTGGCACTTAAAGCAAGCTGTCTGCACTCACTAGCGACAGGATATCTTGGCACTTAAAGCAAGCTCTCTGCACTCACTAGCGACAGGATATCTTGGCACTTAAAGCAAGCTGTCTGCACTCACTAGCGACAGGATATCCTGGCACTAAAGGGCAACATGGTTAAACAAGTTGTGAAAGGCAACTAATCAAGGGTTTGACGAAATTGGTTTTTTTGAGCTGAAAGCACAGATATTACAACTAGCTGTAAACCACAACATTTCAGTTACCTTTGGAAAGGTGAACACAAAAGAAAAGCAGGTTTGCTGCTAGTCATCTCACCCTATATCCTGAGTGTGAATTGTAAGGTGTTATGATGGAATCATAAGAGCAATGAAGATGTCTAGAAAGAAACTGACTCACGAAGAGAACTGGTTGCCCACATCAGAAAGAGACAGTCTGCATTCTTTGGGTCATGTAATAAGCAGAAAACTGGAGTACATCATGACAGTAGAAAAGTTGGAAGGAAGGAGAGGCAGAGGGAGACGGAGAGAAAAGATGCTGCACAGTTTGACATCTTGGCATGGATTATTATCTGTCAGAGTTGATTATGGAAAGACATAACTACCAACTTCACACAGCATGGACTTTGAGAAGAAGAAGATGGAATTCTCAGGACTCATTCAGAATCTTCCACTGCTGCCTGACCGCAGCAACACACACAAGTGTAGGAATCTTCATTTTTCACCATTCTTTAATGTTATCAGTCCAGGTTCTTCTCTGTCCTCCTCTTTATCTTTTGCATTCAGCTGTTCCTCATAGGTGTGAGGGTGTCATTACATTTAGCTTTTACTACTGACAAAAGTGTTTATACTACATTTTATTTTATTTTTTTCCAATCAGACGGTATTTTTGTCTTGGCTCAGCCTAATGTGACAAATCTTGCTTCAGACTGTTAGAGATTTATAATTGTTTGAAAATTCATAATCATTTTTATATTGTTTCCTCTATTTAGGATCTTCAACACCCGAACGAATTCATTCGAGGCTCCACACTTCGATTTTTGTGCAAACTAAAGGAACCTGAACTTTTGGAACCTCTAATGCCAGCCATCAGACAGTGCCTAGAACATCGTCATTCCTATGTACGTCGGAATGCAGTTCTAGCTATCTACACCATATACAGGTAACTGCTTGTGCGGTTTTTGCTTTTTGTTTCAGGACACAAAGTAAATATTGCAGGTATTAAAAACTTTTTCCAAATTTTATTGAAAAGAAATGCATTCTTATAATTCTCTGAGACTGACCCTAAAAAACTTGGGAAAGAGAAGAAGAAGTAAAAATAAAAAAAAGCTCTGGCGTCTTGGTTTAAAAAAAAAAAAAAAAAATCCGGGAGGCTGATACCAGTGATCACTGACCGGACAGGCAAGCTTGCTAGCTATTGCTTCATCTTTAACCAAGTAAAGAATTAACTGTTTTCACTCCCTTTGACACAAAATATTTGGTTTTGTTAGCCATGTGGAGCAGAGTGATGTCATTACAATATCACAGTGACATAACAAATAGAAAAAGGCTATTTATATTCACCCCAGATGTCTCACATTTTTGTGGTAAAGTAACTATATTCATACCCAGCCTGTCTAGACACTGCAGTTGCAACCAGTACCAAAGCTGTTATACAGGCTAAGTTACCTCTGCTCAAAGATGTCACACCGTTGAAAAAAACTGGCAAGAGATCCCAGCATTAACGGGATGCATGTTAAAAGACTCATGAAGAAAACAGCACTAGGTATAAAATAGTAGTACTAGTAAAATAAAGAGGCACAGGGGCAGATCAATGATAAAAGTTGCAGAACCAACCCTAACAGCCCCTGGCTGTTGTGTGGTTTCTCTTGGCAAATTTACGTCCAGTAGTTTGCCATTGCTTTCTGGACGGTCAGCTTTCTTGATACCACTGTCGAAACCAACGCAAGGCGCATTGCCCGCAACTGGGATCGAACCTGGCATTTCGAAGCGAAGCGTTCGCATCGACTTAGCCACAGAGCCGACTAGATCAATGATAAGAGTGATAAAATAGGCCATGATTAGGTTTATCAGTGCAGACATACATGAACATATAAAAAAATAAAATCATGATAATGAATGATGAGAAAGCTTCACAACCAGCTTAAGGGCTGAAATGCTCGATGGTGATGTTAAAAACTCCAACAGTGTCTTGTTTTCAGAACTGTACAATAAATCATTTGTGTTTATAAGACTGATTTAACACACAAAAATAAAAATATAATCTGATAATTTGAAGCATTTCTCTACGGAAAAATTAATCATTAGTAAGTTATTAATGATAAGTTTTTTTTTGTTGTTGTTGTAGGAATTTTGACTTCCTGATCCCGGATGCACCAGAACTGATTCACAATTTCCTGGAGGGTGAGCAGGACATGTCATGCAAGCGTAATGCTTTCATGATGCTGATACATGCAGACCAGGTAATTTATCATAGCATTGATTCATTTTTATTATTGTAAAGTGGAGATAACTATCCTACATGAAGCACATATGTTTAAATTAAGGTATGCATGCGTGTGCACTGGTAACAGTGTCAGTAATTCTTCTTTTTATTCTCCCTGTCAGTGGTTTTCAGATGAGAAGGCCACAGGCCTACATGAAGTCTCTGTGTCATTCATGTCTTCCAATGTTACATACAGCTTGGCTTCCATTGGAGTGCCAACCTACCAATGCTGGGATCTATGTACATCATGTAGATTTTTTAATATGATTGGAAATTATAGGGAAGAGAAAAAAAGGGTGTTAGAAAAAAGAAATAGTTTGTCAGTTTTACAAAATCAATCAAAATGAAAAAACAAAGGACGTTGCAGCGATTAGCCTTCATCAGCACATAAAGAACAATACAGAACAAATCCACAAATATGCACTAACTATAAAGTGACTACATAGGAGTATAATGTACTAAATGATACACATCCGTGTCCCTGGCGGGAACTTCGTTCAAGAGGATGAGCAGGACAGCTACTAACCTATATATCACCACAGTGCAGATGGGAAGCGAAAACTGTGTCGGTATACCTGAATAATGGGAGGAGCTGACACCAGCAGACACACCAGTTAGCCCATATGGCATAACCAGGGTTGGTCGTGGGGAGGAAACTACATGTAGAGAGCATTCTGTAGCACATGTTGACTGTTCTTTGATGTCTGTCCAGAGGGGCAAAGTTATGAATCTCCAGTCTTGAATATCTTGTACATGTGGCTGCAAGGTCTGTTATGTCCAGTATGCAGTCTAAATATAATGGTCAACCTGTTATGTCCAGTATGCAGTCTAAATATAATGGTCAACCTGTTATGTCCAGTATGCAATCTAAATATAATGGTCAACCGGTGTGTCCAGTATGCAGTCTAAATATAATGTTCAACCTGTTTTGTCCATTATGCAGTCTAAATATAATTGTCAACCTGTTATGTCCAGTTTGCAGTCTAAATATAATTGTCAACCTGTTATGTCCATTATGCAGTCTAAATATAATTGTCAACCTGTTATGTCCATTATGCAGTCTAAATATAATGGTCAACCTGTTATGTTCAGTAAACAGTCTGAATCAAAATAGTCATGAATGAGTGAATTAGATAACTCTGTGACAAACATTTGTTGTTCATTAAATATTCTTCTGCAGGTTCTGGAACCCCATATTTGGCAGTAAAAAAAAATTAAGACTTACTGTTCCTTTCAAGTGTGTTGTAAAGGGTGACAAAATAGGAATTTCCTGAAATCAAATCTTGGGCCAGTACTCGCAGATATCACAGTGTAGCCGTAAAACTTAACACCACATGTCAACTGCCGTTTTAGGGGTGAAAGCAGAAAAAGTGTGTTAAACATATGTTGTAGGTGTCAATTTGCTTGAAGTATTCAATAATGCATTTGACTAACAGTTGTTTGCACTTTGATATTTGCCCAGGAAAGAGCTCTGAATTATCTAAGCAGCTGCATTGATCAAGTTACTTCATTTGGAGATATTCTTCAGCTTGTCATCGTAGAGCTGATTTACAAAGTGAGTTTGTGTACTAAATTATAATAATAACATATTTAAAAAACAAAAAACTTACTTCCTGTATTGACCACTTCCTAGGGCAGTGTAAGACAGCTGGTCTTGAGCCTAAGGATTTACGGCTGCATGTCTCTGTGTGGGTTCCAGGGCTCCATTTTATGGGGAAACAGAACAGACCCACTGCCCCCCTAACAAGCACTATGTTAAAGATTGGGGGGGGGGGGGGTCCTTTGAAGTCGAAGTTCATGTGCCTGAGAGGCAAGAAACTAAACGTCTAGATACAAGTAAAGCAGATCTGTAAAATGGATGTGCATGCAGAACTTAAGTTCTGGAACAAGATCAAAGTCCAGAAGTGAAGAAACAACCACATTTTTCCACCAGAGTTTACAGTGGGTAAATGTGAAGAAGGAAAAGGGTTGCATGGCTAGTGCAGTCGTCACAGACTCCTTAGGTTAGGAATTAATTTTTGCACAAGCCATGTGCATACATATTTTAAGATCCCTAAACCATTGGAAATTGTGAAGAGCAGTCACCCTCTAAGAAATCACTCGCTCTCTCTCTCTTTCTTTCTCTCTTCCACTTTTACTGCTTCTTGTGTCGAGGGAGATATAAGGTTCTGCTATTGATCAGTACGTTTATATTTCAATGTATTTTTAGTAGCGATAATAAATCCATTGCCATCTTACTAGGCCTCTTGCAGATTCACTGGAGTCTGGTTGGCCACAGCATTTTGGGATGACCAAGAATAGTCTTCATGACTACCAAAACCATCCCAAGGCCACACCATACTTAATTCTAGCAGTCCCCTGCATAGACTCGCTGCCTACCTAAAAAGCATGTCATAGGAGTTTACCAATTGGGGTCTTTCTTTGAAGTCGAAGTGGATCTGTCCAAGCGGCTAGGAACAACCAACTGCAATTAAGCCAGTAAAATGCATGTACATGCAAAACTCAGGCCCTGGCACAAAGTCCCAATGGACGAACAACCAGGGCTTTCGGCTGGTGAACAAAAAACAACAACAACATGGGGTTGGGTTTTGAGAGTTTTGAAAATTACTAATATATATGTTACCCACAATAAAATAGGTATAACATATGAATATCTCAAGTGAATGTTGAAGTCTAGTAGGAACCACTACATTACTTTTCATTAAACTGCATTTTTTTAAATTTAATTATTCTGTAGCTGAAGTTAAATCTAATAAGTTATTAGCAATTCTTCTAATGTTAGCTTTATTATGACTGTTACAGATTTCTTATTTTAGCTTTATTATGACTGTTATAGATTCCTAATTTCTTCTCCCTAGGTGTGTCATGCCAATCCTGGGGAGCGAGCAAGGTTTATCCGATGCATCTACAACCTTCTGAACTCATCAAGCCCAGCAGTCAGATATGAGGCGGCTGGTACACTTGTCACTCTGTCCAGTGCCCCAACTGCCATTAAGGTAAGCAAATTAACTTGTATTGATTTGCACTCATAGAAAGTAGAGATAAGAAGACACACAAGACAACATGAAAATTAAAATCTGTAGTCATCATACAAGGACTTTAACTTGCCACTTCCAAGTGACGACAGTGCCTGACTGTGGGAACAACTATACTTTGATCCATTACCGACTCTGCACCAGTACCCACCCACACTGGATTACTACTGGTTACTTCATAACCAGTTTGAGATGTCCAATCTTTGCTTTATGTTTACATGGTTGACAGGGTTTCTGGAATTTGTACCTGTTCGATTCTTATCCTGCAGTCGTGGAAGTGAAAAACTATTTAAAAAAAAAAACACTTGGCGGCCTTGTTACATGTTAATTTTTTTTTTTTTTAAATCATATGGTTTCTAAGGTTTTAAGGGTTTCCCAGACAATTATTTTTGCCAAAAAAGTCAGAAAAGCCGAATACACATTGTTAAAGAATCTCATTGATTGGAGTGTTAACTCGACTTGTGATGACTGTTATCTTTGCCCACATCATACTCATTCTGCACGCTCACAAGATTGTTTTAAAAGTCAGCTAATTGTAGGGTTGGTCTTGGAGCTGAAACTCAAAAGCCAGCTAGCTGGTTATGTAAACGTTTAAAAGAGGAATTAGCTACACAGGAGGAAAAAGAATAGGACAGATTGGTGTTAATGAGGGCCTGTGTTTCATTATGACAGTGGTTTTCAACCTTCCTAATGCTGCAACACTTTAATACAGTTTCTCATGTTGTGGTGACCCCCCCCCCCCCCCCCAACCATATAATTATTTTCGTTGCTACTTCACAGATTTAGTGAAATGTGTTTTCCGATGGTCTTAGGTGACCCCTATGGAATATTCATTCGACCCTCAAAGGGGTTATGACCCACAGGTTGAGAACTGCTGAATTAGGAGATAAATGGCAGAAGATGATGTTATAACTAGATAAGAAGGCAGCTGTTAAGACAAGTATAAATTCTCCTCCTCTGGGATTTTGGGGCCCATTGGGGAAAGGGAGGGGGGAAGGGAAAATAGACCCACTGTCACCTAACAAGCATGTTGTAAAAGTTTGCTATTTATTGGTGTTTCTTTGAAGTCAAAGTGCATCTGCCTGAGGGACAAGGAACCAACAGTCTGCATACATGTAAGCCAGTTCTGAAAATGGATGCGCACGCAGATCTCAGATTCTGGAACAAGACTAAAGTCCAGAAATGGATGAGCAAGCAAAATATTCTGCCAGTTTACAGCGGGTGAATCCAAAGAAGAAGAAGAAGAGACAAGTATATCATATAGAGTGAATTCAATAAACCTATGGTGCACTTATTGAAAAAAAAAACTGTATATAAGTTTTTAAGATGTCAGGTTCAATCTCAGCTGCGGGCACTTTGGCAGCAGACTGCTGATACGTGCGGACCTTCATTGTGACGTGCAGAGCTTCATGCTGATGTGTGTGGTACCAAGATGAATTAGGCCAAGTAGGGGTAAAACAGTAGTTACTTCAATGCTTTCAGAATGTAGAGCTCGAACGCTATGCGTTAAGTTCCAATGGTTGTATTGATATATACGATCAGCAATACAAGGAGAAATACATATGCAATCAATAATCAACTCGTTCAACCAAAGCTCACTCGTACATCCGTGGACGGTTATGTCCTTACGATAGGTCGCAGTCCGACCTTGAGATCCAGACGATTTACTTTCTCCTCGGACAAGTCCGAATTAAGCAATGAAAGTATACCGGCATACTGCCGAGAATGTAGTGCTCACCAGCTTCCTGCTGAGGTCTTGGAGTCCCGGGGTAAAACGTCCTCAAGGATCCAACTTTATATAACGTTTGCTTCCGTGGGATCCCGGGGTAAAGCGTCCTCAAGGATCCCCACGTCCGTCTCCTTCGGACTATATACATCAACTGCTCAGACAACAATATTATCATAACAACGTTACGTATTGTTTTGACGTCTTATTTGCTCACTCCGTACTGGTGCGTTCTGGTGCACATTCGCACGCGACAGCTTTTCCCCCCTCCCCAGGACGACCGAGCACTAGGGCTTGTCGTAGTCTCGGTCGGAAAACTGGAGTCATGTCGCGGCAAACAGCACCAGTACGAGAGAGCAAATAAGAACACTTGAATACACACACACGCACTCCTCAATATATCGTCAATACATTACTAAATGCATGCAAAATATAGATTCCTGACTTCACTAAGCATCATTATCAACAACATTATTGTTATCCAAATTATTTTTCATAACATCATGCATTTTAAATATCATGTAAATTGAACAAATAAACATCAATCGTCTTCCAATGCCTCTGGGGTGCGCGACAAAAAATCGGCTAAGACATTCTCTTTCCCTGGGCGATAAATAACTGTGAAGTTGAACGTCTGTAGAAACATTGTCCATCTTAATATGCGTGAGTTTTTGATGGGTGCTGAGTTCAAGACTTCGAGTGGACGATGGTCTGTCAAGACAAAGAAGTGACTGCCATACAGGAATTGGGTAAACTTCCCTATTGCCCAAAAAATGGCTAGTGCTTCCCTTTCGCCCACGCTGTAACGGCATTCAGTAGGAGACAGCTTCCTGCTGGCATAAACAACAGGAAGTAGGGTGCCCTCTCTGGATTGCATCAACGTCCCACCAATCGCAACATCAGACGCATCTGTGGATACATAAAACGGCAGAGACAAATCTGGCAAACACAAGAACGGATTACTATTAAATGCCTTTTGTAATCTCTGGAGCGCGTCCTCGCACTCTCTCGTCCAGATAACCTTCGCTGGCATTCCTTTCATCGTCAATGAGGACAACACGGCTGTAATGGTTGAATAGTTAGGAATGAATTTGGCATAAAAGTTACATAAACCCAATAACGCACGCACTTGTTTCTTCGTTTTTGGTATAGGAATGTTAAGAATCTTACCCACCGTGGTGGCTTCGAGTTTACGGACCCCGTGTCCTACAACATGACCGAGGAACGTGACCTCCTCGAAAGCGACCTTCACTTTAGTTGGTCTAACTGTCAGATTAAACAATTTTATGCGTTCCAGTAATGTCTTTAGACCTCGAATATGTTCGTCTAAATCATTATGGAATAGCAGAATGTCATCCAGATAATGAATAACATCATTACGACCCTGTAACAACTTGCGTACGAGGCGGGTGAACGTCGCCGGTGCTCCGGAAAGCCCGAAGACCATATAGTTGAAGTGAACCAAACCTTTGTTCGTCTGAAACGCGGTGTATTTTTTGGAATCCTCGTCTAAGGGAATCTGCCAATAACCCTTGGTAAGATCTAACTTTGTAAAATACCTAGCCTTCGACAATGCAACAAACATATCTTCCATATTTGGGATATTTTCAGCATCTACAACCGTGATTCGATTCAATTTTCGAAAATCTATGCAGATCCGAAGGCTTCCATCTTTCTTTCGGACAACCACTATTGGAAAAGCATAGGGTGATGTCGACGGTTCAATTATACCCCACTTAATCATGTTATCGATTTCCTTATCCACGGCATCCCGATAATGAAAAGGTATAACATATGGTTTCATTTTGATGGGTTTATGATCTATTAATTCAATGGAATGCACTGCTTCTGTCGTTCTACCCGGTATGTCCGATAATGTTTTGTCGAATGTAGCCAAAATACGCTTTATACGACGCACCATATCTGGTGGAACCGAGGGCGCGACTTCCACGTCTCTCCATGTTTCTCTGGGTACCAGTTCGGGTAGAGACAATTGATGAGCAGTGTCCACCTCGACATCATTGCTCTCTTCGTCAATGACGTGGCAGAATGCTGCCTCCATTTCTTCTTCTTGCAAATTATTGTCGGGTGCCTCAGCTGCTTCTAACACTTCAGACAAAACACCAGGGCGAGACTTAAACTCTTTAAGCATGTTTAGATTGTATACTTTATGATGTCCTCTGACATCAATAAGATAGTCCACATCTGAAATTTTCTTAATAACTTTAAAAGGACCCTGCCATTTGGCTGATAAACAATTATTATTATCTTGCAGAAATATCAATACATCATCATTAGGCTGGAGAGTGATTAGTCTCCGGTTACGGTTAACGTATTCTCTTTGATGAGTACCAGTATTTTCCAAGTTGTCCCGTGCAACTTGACAACCTGAGATTATCTTGTTACGTAACTCCGTCACGAATTTAATATATGTTTGAGGCGCTTCTTGATCGCCTTTACCGATCCATATGTCCTTTAACAGCAACAGTGGACCTCTGGGATTAGCACCATATATAAGTTCGAAAGGTGAGAAACCTGTACTGCTCTGGGGCACCTCACGATAGGCGAACAAAACAGCAGGAAGGTATTTATCCCAGTCTGCTGGAAATTGATTAGTAACTTTGGCTAGCATAGCTTTTATTTTCCCATTTAAATTTTCTACTAGCCCATTTGATTGTGGGTGATATCTTGCAGAAAAAACGTGAGAGATGGCAAGTAATTTGTCAAAAGAGCGCATTGCTTCTGAAATAAATTGTGATCCGTGATCTGACAGAATTGTTTCAGGAAAGCCTACTCTAGAGAATATAAGCATCAATGCTTCTGCTACTGACTCAGTAGTGATATGACGTAACGGTACTGCTTCAACCCAACGTGATGCCATGTCTACAAATGTTAAAATGTATCTAAATCCTCTTTGTGAAACAACCGGTAGCGGACCCACAAGATCGACAGCAACTTTTTCGAAAGGACGACATGGAAGATAGACCCTTTGAATAGGAGGTTTCTGAGATGCATCCTTTCTCGCCATCATTTGACAGTCTTTACATGACCTACAGTATTTCCTAATATCTGTGGAACAACCAGGCCAATAGAATTGTGCAAGAACTCTTTTCTGTGTTTTACCTATACCTAAATGTGCAGCAAAAGGAGTGTCATGTGCAACTCTCAGAACATCGGTTCTATAACATAAAGGAACGACTAATTGTTTACATTGCATAACAGGTGATTTAAAATATCTCATTAAAATTCCATTCTTCACATAAAAATGCCATGTACCTTGCTTACATGTTCTAACACCGGTTACTTCTGCCCTAGAAAAGCATTTAGTGAGTGTAGGATCCGCCTGTTGTTGTATCGCAAAACTGTTTGTTTTCGGTGCGTGTGGTTCGTTTCCAGGCACTTTTGGTCGTTCTGGTTCATTCTTTACTGCTTCTTCGCTAGCTATCCCACATGTGATAGCTATTTGGTTTTCGTTCGAAGTAGCTGACTGTAACGGAGGTGTGGCTTCCTCGTTACTTACTCTCTTTTGAGCGCGTGTAACTGCAGCATTAGCTTCAGTCACACCCTCATTTTCATTATACCAGCGTTCGATTTCCTCACGTGAGGGCATCTTTGCTCCTGGAACTGATCCAAGGAGTACGTCCGCTGACGGTCTCTCCAAAACACACACTTCGGCAACCCCTTGAAAATACGGGTTATTTAAATAGACTTTTGCTAAAGGAAATCTTTCTAAACGACCACCAAAAGTACGACACTTGCAATACCGACCTAAGTATGCCGATTTGGGGATTAGGTATCTAGCCACTCCTATAACATTGGCACCCGTGTCACGTAATACTTTAGATTTTATGTTTCCAACATAACCATTATGCAAAGGCAAACCAGCCTCCAGTGGTACAGCTGACAACGCTGGGTAAACAATTTCTGGATGGATTCGAACCTGACCGTCTGCTAAATTTGTCACTTTTTGTGACATCGCTGCGTTTACTGTTTGCGCGGAATTAGCATGACTGTTCATAACCCTTGGGCACTCAGAACGTTTATGGAAACCACGGCATACATAGCACCTTATAGGACCTGTGTTGCGTTGAAACCTACCTCGTGAAGATGGACCATCGTCATCATCTTTCCTGTGTCGCTTGTGGGGACAATCGGGACTTTTGTGTCTCCACGAAAGACAGATTGAACAAGCAGATGAACGGGGTTGATAATGTTCACCCTGCTTTTTGGACGTTTGATCTCTATGGGGTGGTTGTCTCTGTTCGCTGTGGCTGCGATAGCGCCCCTGCCTATTATGGCATTTGTTCCACCTGGGCCGATTTGACGAGGCGTTGTGGTGCACCCTAATACTGGATGCAGCTGGGAGTATGTCCTCGAACCTGGGGTTGTGCAATGGTTTACCAGGATGTGCAGTGACATACTGTTCTCCCAATGTTGTCATCTCCTCAACTGACTTCGGTTTCCTTTCTTGAAAAAATGAGAACATCTCCGAACTACATGAAGACAAAATTTTATCTCGAATAATGAGATCAGCCAACTTATCATAAGAGTTTTTAACATCTGCCAATGTCACCCAACGCGTAAACAACGTTCTAACGCGGGCCACAAAATCAGCGAAACTTCCATCGACGGATGGCACAACAGATTTAAACTGCACACGGTAACCTTCTTCGGTCATGCACTTCGACGCCAACAGTTTTTGTTTGACTATTTCGAACGACGCGCGTTCGTCTTCTGATAAATTCGTGAACGTGTTCAAAACTGGTCCCGTTAGCAAATCCCTTAAACGAGATACCCATTGTTCCTCTGGTATCTTAGCGGTATTCATCGCTAAAGAGAAGCGATCCAAAAAATTATGAAGATCTTCTGTAGGTGTAAGAAATGGTAATTTGGGTATGTATACACATGCCCCTTGTTCGGAACCCGAACGGCTACTAGTCACAAGACGACGGCTCTCTGATTCTGACACAGCAACAACCTTGTCTCTATCTATACGCGCTAGTTCTAATTCGTTCTCCAAACGTAACCTTTCTAAATTAGTCTTCATTTCAAAACGCAGTCTCTCCGCCATAGCTTCTTTTTCCCAGCGTAGTTTCTCAGCCTCAGCTTCTTTTTCCATGCGTAATTTCTCCAACTCCATTTCTTTTTTCCATGCGCGTTCCGCTGTTCTCTCATCGCGTAACTGGTTATCTCTGTCCGACAACTCTTTCATTCTGGCTTCGGCGAAAGCTAAGAGTTGTCCATTTTCTAGGCCTATACTACGACCTAACTCCAAAAACTCAGCAAATGTAGACATATTTAAATAATATGACAATCAATATACAATATATGATATATATGATAGTGTGTGGTGAAGTGACGCCACAGGACAACGAATACTGCGTACTGTCACACACGTACAATTAATGTCGCTCTCCACTTGCGCACGGACAACCAGGTTCTCTGGAGGAAAGAGTTAAAATTGTCAGCGCAACAGAAACCACAACAACCACAATTGACTTACCAATTGGGTGGCAGACAAACAACACACTGCAATGTTAGCGATGAAAAATCGCTACAATAACGACCGGTTCAACGGCAAGTAGCAGATCAATGTACAACCAAAAGGACGACTTGATCCGATTCAATCGAACGGAAAGTGGCACAGTCAGTAACGGTGACTTGATTATGATGAAGATCCAGCGAAGTATGATACGGAGATCCAACGAAGAGTGCTACTGTCCCGATGAAGATCCAACGAAGAAGAATGATACGGTCCCGATGAAGATCCAACGAACGAAGAATGATATGGTCCCGATGAAGATCCAACGATGGCTAGAACAGACCGGCGGCGGCGACTTGATACATTGAACGATATCCACAGCTAGAGATTGGTAAAGACTGTGACAATTGGAATGTGCTTCGTGTACAACTTGAGGCACAACAATGCGACAAAATGTCGTATCACACTTGTGACGAGAGGTTCCTCATTCTTTAAAGGCTGGCCCCCATTGATACGTGCGGACCTTCATTGTGACGTGCAGAGCTTCATGCTGATGTGTGTGGTACCAAGATGAATTAGGCCAAGTAGGGGTAAAACAGTAGTTACTTCAATGCTTTCAGAATGTAGAGCTCGAACGCTATGCGTTAAGTTCCAATGGTTGTATTGATATATACGATCAGCAATACAAGGAGAAATACATATGCAATCAATAATCAACTCGTTCAACCAAAGCTCACTCGTACATCCGTGGACGGTTATGTCCTTACGATAGGTCGCAGTCCGACCTTGAGATCCAGACGATTTACTTTCTCCTCGGACAAGTCCGAATTAAGCAATGAAAGTATACCGGCATACTGCCGAGAATGTAGTGCTCACCAGCTTCCTGCTGAGGTCTTGGAGTCCCGGGGTAAAACGTCCTCAAGGATCCAACTTTATATAACGTTTGCTTCCGTGGGATCCCGGGGTAAAGCGTCCTCAAGGATCCCCACGTCCGTCTCCTTCGGACTATATACATCAACTGCTCAGACAACAATATTATCATAACAACGTTACGTATTGTTTTGACGTCTTATTTGCTCACTCCGTACTGGTGCGTTCTGGTGCACATTCGCACGCGACAACTGCCTTGTGTTGGTTTCAACAGTGGTATCAAGATCTGACGATTCAGAAAGCCATTGTAAACTCTTGAAATTAAAATTGCCTAGTAACGTCACAAATGGGCACGCAATGAACAATGCAGGAATTGGTTCTGCATTGTTCATTGTTCATTTAAAGATCATCTTCATCGCATGTCAGACTTCTAAGTATCTGAGTATATATCTAAGTGTTTAGGCTAACAACTCCCATTCTGTTCTGGTTGATGTAATGACAGGTGGCTCCAGCATGGTTTTCCTGTTTCACTGCTCCAGTTGGTACACCCATGGCATGCAGTCTATTTAGTGGAAAAATCATTGTCCAAGAAACTGAAAGCCTCCACAGCATTTAGTCTCTCTTATGGCATTGATGATGCCTCTCTTGTCCATAGATGGCATATTCCTTATAGTTGTTCTGCAGCATCCTGTAAAGGACATGCCACTAAATTTGTGTGTGTGTGCTGCTACCTATCCCTCTATACTGCTTGCAACATGCTACATAGAACTGATTAATTGAGAATGGGTTGGTCCTGAATTTCTGACATACATTTTCTTAGGCTGCCATTGCATGATACAGAGTTGATTATTAGAAACTGGGTTAGTTAGGAATTTCTAACATGAATGCAATGTTATTCTCAGGCTGCTGCAAGCTGCTACATTGAGTTGATTGTAAAGGAGAGTGACAACAATGTCAAGCTGATTGTTTTGGATAGACTGATTGCTCTTAGAGAGGCACCAGCTCATGAGAAAGTTTTACAGGTATTGTCCTGAAGTTCAGTTGAATTTGTTTATTTGCAGTGATTCTTTTTGACTATTTAAATGCATAATTGTATCATACTAGCCTGAGTTTGAAAATCAAGACACAATTTAATACAGATTGGACTTGTTTTGTGTCTGTTTAAATGCATAATCTTATGATAGTAGCCTGAGTTTGAAAATCAAGACACAATTTAATACAGATTGGACTTGTTTTTTGTCTGTTTAAATGCATGATCTCAGGATACTAGCCTGAGTAAACATCAAGAAACAAGTTAATACAAATATGATTTGTTTTTCAACCATGGAAATGAGAACAGTGATCTGCCGAGCATGTGCGTATCAGTGCTGATACAGACCATCCATTGCATAGTGAGATTTGCAAGAAGAAGGGGTAGCAGGTTGAAAAGAGGAAAATCCTGGGTGGGTCAGGCTGAGGACAGTATTCAACAAGTTTGTTCAACTCAGGACATAGAACCTGGTGAGGAATGGGTACATGTGCCTGCAGAGTGGGTTATATCCTTTTCTGTCATCATAAAACTGGGTAGAGATTGCAGACAACAAGGCCTGCTGGTGTTTGAGGCAGAAGTTCAAGCCTGAATTCTTGAAAATTCTGCTTTGCATTCTCCGGAAAAAGTTCTTAAAATTTTTTTTTTTACACAGATCGCTACTAAATTTAAAAAAAAAAAAAAGTATATGTAGATTTTTTTTTTTTTTTTTAAATTTATGAATGGGAGTAATCAGTAAACATGAATGAAGTTGAGAAATAAACGGATTACATTCTTTTCTACCTAAAAAAAATGATTGAAACTGTGACCTTATCTCCCTGTTGCTATGCAACCACTGAGACCGTAGGCAAATTATGACATCATAATGGCTTTTTAATAACCCACCCCCCAAAAAAAATGCTGTTTTTAGTAAATATATTCCTAAACGCTATGCAGGTGCAAATAGAACCAATCTGTTTAACTTGACCTTTCTGGGGAAAGTCTGAAGCAGCAGATCTCGTTTAGCAGCTTTTCCTTGTAAGGGACTGAAAAAAAGTAAAGGATCCTTTTCCACGCCTTTAGGCGTATTAGGCATATAGGCCAGACCTAAATATTATAGAACAATCGGCACTTGGTGGGTGATGTGGTCAGGACTGCACCTGGTACCCTCTCAAGGCTGGGTCGACCTGGGAGCCAAGGTCATTTAAAAAAAAAAGTCTGTCTCCGTCAGGACCCGAACCCACTTCCTTCCGATCCGCAGGTGGGTGTCTAGCAGCTACACCACGTGTACTCCCTGGTAAGGGACAGTGGTGCCAGATATAGCTGTGTTTTGGGGCAAAATGGTTATTTTCATTTCTTGTTATCTGCTCAAATGCAGTCACCCTTATTTTCTACTATATTTTGAGTTTGAAAATGTCAGGACTATTAGACTATATTCAACAACACTCTTTTGTCTTTCATGTGTTGAAAATACAAGAAGCTTTTATCTTTCTCTCCCTTCCCTCTCGATCTCACTTTCCTTCTACCTCTCTATTCCACTTCCCTCTTTTACTTCCTTTCTCTTACATTAATTATGACAGTATTGTAAAGTTGGCTTATACATAAATTGGTATTGATATTTTTGAGTGTATTGCATTAATGTATTAGGCATTATAAGAATATAAATTGAAATACTTCCGATTATTACCTAGAAGTCTAGCTAATGTTTTATTAAATGCCATTTTGTTCTGTTTCTTTATTGTCAGGAACTTGTGATGGACATTCTTCGAGTGTTGAGCTCCCCAGACCAGGAAGTCCGCAAGAAAACTCTCAACCTTGCACTAGATCTGGTGACATCTCGCAATATTGAAGAAGTAAGTTTAATAGAAAGGAGAAGTGTTCCACCCAGTTGTTCCAAAATTTCCCAGATAATTTCATCCCATTATGTGACTTGAAAAAAATTACCGTCGTCTTGTCTTGAATTGTCAGATTTGGATTCGTAGAAAACAAAAATTACAAGCTTGATCCTCTTTTAGCCGCCCAAAGGCCTGCTATATTAACGGGAAATTTATTTGCTAACTGAGCTTGAATTCTGATTTTGCGTAGCAATCAATTTCGCCTGAGTTTGGTTATTTGCTGCAACGTGTTTGGCTGGGCGGATATCGGCAGCTTTTGATTGGGCTGGTCTTGTCCTGAATAAAAAAACTGATGCTTTTATTCTGCCTCCTCCTGGGGTGGTTGATTCTTTTTTCTTCAAAGACACATAAATAGGAAACACAAATTCTTTCTGCACACATTTTTTTTTAGATGCCTTATCTGTTGGAAATTGGGAAGAGCAGCCACCCTCCTAGAAGAGCAGAGGATTAACCTAAATGTCACCCACAGTAAAATATTTATGTGGTATAAATGTCAGCAATGAATATCAAAGTCAAAGTTTAAACCACTACATTACTTTTAATTACACTAATTAACTTTTTTTAAAGTGACCATTGTCTTGGTTTGACAGTGTTCTGTTGTTGTGCATTGACCTTTAACAATATCTGGATATTAGTTTTTACAGATGGGATTTTCAGCACTCTATAAAGAAGTCACTAGTTATATTATAATCTCAGTCACTGTTCAGTGATTACCAGGCATAATTAGTATGGGCAGTATGTCTCTTTTTCTTCTTCTTCTTTTCTCTACTCCTGGAATGCCTCGAAGAATCAGGGTAGGAAGAGATCTCTGGAATGGGCCTTTCTGTTCACTTCATACAAAGTACTTTTCAGTGTTAACTGATATTTCTGCGGTCCATCTTCTGTGAGGTCGACCTCTGGCTCTGTGTAACTCCCCAAAACTTGTTTTTTGACTTTCTTGATTAGGGATATTTCAGACAGAATGCTAGCTGGAATGTTCTGCTTCTAATTAAAATCTGTCTTTGCTTGGATTATTGTACACATTTTCTCTGTGTTAGTAGTAGTAGTACATTTTACCCCACTAGGATATCACACAAGTGATAAACACCCGATGACACAAAGTGCCACCATGTGGATAAGGATCACCCGGGGAGAGGTCCCGGAAACTGCATTAGCCATTAGACCATATTTATGGCTGGGCTATATTGCGCCCCCCGGGCAAGAGCCAGGGTGGGGCTTCAAAATAACGAAAAATTGCATCCCGCAAAATGATGACTATTATTTTTTAGGATTATTTATAGTATTTTTTTTTTTGATTATTTTTCTCTGTGTTGCTTTCTTCTGTTATCTTTGGCCATAGATTGAATTTGTCTGGTTAGTTTAGTGTTTGATTGTGTGTACTTTCTGGTTACATTTTATTTTTCACCCTGACCATTTTAGTCCTTTTTTTTTTCCTGCCCGTGGTTATGATGTCCAGTATTTTTTTAAAATTTCTTCTTACTTGTGTAAGTACTATGCCATCAGCATAATGCCCTTTGGGGATAGGTTTTCAAAGTTTGCAAATTTTCAAGGGGAATTATCTTTGAACTAACTCTTGATGATTTCCAGTCTACATATGCATAGAAGCTTAGATTTTCCATTATCATTTTAACAGGCTAGGCATAGCAAAAGATGACATAGACTGAGTTGATTGAAACTCAATGTTTTTTTTTTTAAATTCATCTTTCAGTTGCAACTAACTAATAGTTTGCTTACACCTAAGCCAAACTAATATGGATGTGCAAGCAGAACTCAAGTTCAGGAACAAAACCAAAGTCCAGACGTGGACATACATCTTTAACTTTCCACCGGATTTTACAGCTGATGAATGTTAAGAAGAAGAAGAAAAACTGCTTTGTCCCCCCCTCGCGTGATGAAAACCATGCATACATACCCTTTGCCTACTTCCAGCTAAATCAGTCTTGCAGAGTATGGATACTCTGTTCGATTGCACGGTCTTCTTGATGCTAGAGAGCCTTTACCACATCCACTTTATCATAAAGTAGCTCACCACTGAAAGGAGCAGCAGCAGCCAGTCTATCAGCCTGTTTATTACCTCAGACGCCCGAACATCCGGGGCAGAAAATCAATTGAGCTTTATTAAGTGATGTGAACCACTCTGCATGTGGGACACCTGTCTTTCTTTATTTTTTTTAAATTAGAAAATGCATCATGAGTCTGTCACAATTACATGTCCGTCTATCACTCTCCAGTCGTGTTAATATATGTTGATAGATCTAACATATATTTTTGATATTTGTAGATGGTTCTTGTCCTGAAGAAGGAGGTTGTGAAGACAAACAATGTTGAACACGAGGATACTGGCAAGTACAGGCAGCTGCTGGTCAGAACCTTACATCAGTGCAGCGTCAAGTTTCCTGATGTTGCCTCCACCATTATCCCTGTGGTAAGAGGATTGTTTGTGTGAACATTGGTGTGTTTTTGTAAAAAGAAGTTAAATATATACTATTTCACTTGTTAGCTACTAATGCGTGTGCACTGTCAGTTCTCTGAAAGTGTGAAAGTTTAACCAGTTTGACTGCAGATGATTTGGCATTGGGCCATTTTGCGTTGATTTCGACAGTGGTATTAAGAGCCAGCCATTCTCAGAAAGCAATGGCAAACTAACGCACATAAAATTGCCTGGTGAAACCAAATAGCGAGACAGTGTTAGGATTGGTTCTGCAATGCCCTGCAAAGGATTTGCAACTAACTTTTGTCTTTAAATAAATATGTATTTTAAATCTTCATGAGTCAGTAGAAACTTTTGCTATCACCACATTGTTTTGTTCCTCTGTTTCTGATGTTTTTTCTGCCGTCCTAAAAAAAAAAAAAAAACATATTTTGCGTCTTTCCAACTTTGTGGAAGCTGGTCTTATCTGAACTTTTAATTTCATTATAATATAATAATACAATATTTTAGTATTTTAACTGAAAGTATGAATGAAATAATATTTAGATATTGTTTAGATTAGGTTTTATTTATGCTGAATGCTTAAATAATCTGCTGCTCCTCGGCTGCCATATTATGTATTTTTCTTTTTGGTAATATTCTGCGTTTGATTTGAAATTTGTTTCATTGTAGGAGTATTTACTTTATTAATAAATAATAATTTCTGGAATCTGTTACCAGTTGATGGAGTTCCTGGGTGACACTAATGAACTAGCTGCAGCAGATGTGCTGGTGTTTGTACGAGAAGCAGTTCAGCGCTTTGACCAATTAAGACCACTGGTTATCAGTAAATTGCTGGATGTTTTTGGTACCATCAAGGCTATGAAGTAATTTTGTTTTTGTTGTGTTTTTTGTATGTGTGTAGAAAGAGGAATCTAATTTTCTTTTGCTGTTTATATAAAATGTATTTGTAATAATTATTGCTTTGTATGTTGCTGACACCTGTAACAGTTAAAGTACAGTAAAGGACTCTTTCCGTGTCTTTAGGTGTATAAGGCATAGAATGCTAGACCTATATTTTATAGACCAATCGGCAGTCTGTGGATGATCTGGTCATCATCACGCCGGCCACCTTAACTTTCCAAGACTTCATCTGACATTCATTTAAGACTGGGTCAACCTGGGAGCCAAGGTTATTTTTGAAAAAAAAGTCTGGCCCCATTCAGTTTTGCACCGATGCCCTTCAGATCCACAGGCGAGCGTCTAGCCACGTTGTATTTAACAACATGGGAGCTCCTGCCTATGACAGTGGCATGAGTGAATGTTATCAGAATTGATTCAGAACACCAAGTACCAAGATTTATGGAGATACATGAATGGCTACACTATCTGGTTTGGTGTAAGAGGGTGGTGATCTGGGTCAGACTACCGGATAAATAATTATTACAATACTGTGCCCTCTCCACGGTGAAGGTTGGCAGCAGTGTATGTCCAACATGCTATGTCTTTTACCATGGATGTACACTCTATTACTACTGTTTGTCCACCTCTTGATGTTATTCCTCCACTTGTATCACTGTCTGCCTCTAGCTTGCTTGCCTGTGTTCAACCTTTCCCTCCAGTATGGTTTTTATTAAAGTGTTATGTCTTTAAAATGGCCTAAATATTTCACATGCCTCCGTTTTATTTATGTCAGCAACTCTCTTTTCACCCCAGTCTCTTCAGAACCTCAGTATTTGATTGTTTCTTATTTCCATTGGAGCAGAATGCTGGAGAATGATAAAAAAGGATGCGCTCAAGATTCCACCTTCCACCACACATGACTACAGAGAATTACACACATTTTATGGCCAGATACAATCTAAAATACTAAACTGCTTCAAGTCACAAACCTAGAAACTCTGGACAGTATGATAAAAAAGAGAAGATGGAAATGGCTTGGCCATGTCATAATGTATCCTGATATACCTGCCAAAATAGCTCTAACTTAGACACCAGAGGGAAAGAGAAGGAAGGGGCTCCTAAAAACAACAGGGAGACGAACGATGGAGTGAGGCTTCTTTGACATGGAAAACTGCACTGAAGATTGCATATGACAGGAAAGCATGGAAAGTCCTCTCTGAAGCCTCATGTGCCACTAGGAATGAAGAAAACTGAGTATTTTCACTGAGTATTACCTATTGTTATTCCATTGCCAACTTTAGGTAGTGTGTTATTACATAGTCAAGTCCTAATCTATTCCACAATGTCCCTACATGTTCTCTATTGTGACCCAAACATGCCTTTTGTGTGCCACACACTTTGCTGTTTCATTTCACAAGCCGTTGATTCTTCAACCTCATTAAAGGTAGCAGTCAATTTGCTAGAAATGTGATGAAAATGAAAATAGTTATAGAAAAACGAAATAGCCTGGCACAGAATATACACTTTGTATTTAGGAAGAGCTGGTTTGGGAAACTGATCAGTGTTTATGAACATTAAAAGAAACAAAGAAGTAACATAAAAGTGAAGGCTTTATAGCAGTTAAAAGATTCTACGACCCCCCCCCCCCCCCCCCCCCCCCCAAAAAAAAAGCAATTTTAAAGGGTAATAGAAAGCAAGATTAAGGGCAGATTGAGACAAAGCAGCTGAAATTTTACAGTTGTACATTGATATGTGTAGCAGTGACTTTGAATTTAAAAAAAAAACTATTTCAACTATAAAATTGAATGTTTATGGCACCTGACAACTAGCCACTAGGCTAAACTTAACTTATTGGTGATAATGAAATAATTAAACATTTCTATTTAATCTGTCAATTAGTACCCTTTCTTCCGTTTCAGAATTCACCGAGCTGCACTTTGGATCCTTGGAGAATACTGTACAACATCAGATGACATTCAGAGCGTCATGACACTCATCAGACAGTCCTTGGGTGATGTAAGTTGTATGTTGACTGCTTTTCGAAAATTGTAACAGATTTTTATTGTTTTTCAGAGAATGCTTTCATTAATTTTCAGTATGGCTCTCAGCTAGTTCATTGTGGCTTTCCTTTTTACAAGGTGTAATTTAGTTAAAAACTGGGTCTTAATACTTAATCAGTCAGCATTCGTCTGTTAATTATTTCTGTATTAACTTTAAATACTAGAGGAAAATAGTGGAAATAAAATGGGATGAATACCGGGAAGGCTAACCCTGTCAACAAATGCCCTCAGAAGTCAGATGTGTTAGCCGAAAGGTGCAAATATCACAGCCATGCTGTAAATGCACACAACGCAATTACATCTTCAGATGAACACAGAAGAAGAAGAAATGGGATGAATTTAGGAGGGGTAAAGAAATAAGAGTTATTTGACAGAAGATGATGCTACATTGGACACTTTCTTAGAAGAAACAAGCAGAGAATCACCAAACAGGCATTAAAACAGGAGAAAAAAAAAGGGGTTGAGAAAGCAAGGGCATCCAAAAGAAACTAAAATGAATGTTGATAAGAGAGGCCAAAGGTGCTATACTGGATTCCATCCGTGATATTGAATTGATTCCACATGATAGAGGAATAGACTATGAGCCCTATGTGACATATAATTTCACAGCAGGACAATGAATGTGTGTTTACACATATTGTTTACAAATTTTTTTTTTTTTTACTGTAAAAATTAATTTAAATTCTAAGTTGTTTCTATTTCATCTTTCTTTTTCATGTTTTCAACAGATTCCAATTGTTGATGATGAAATGAAAAAAGCTGCAGGAGAAGTGAAAGAGGATGGTAATTTCTTCATATATTTTCCTTAACATACGGACCTTGGTTTTCACAAATTAAAATCGATCTATAATCTGTTTTGTGGTTGCCAGTTTTGCCTTGAGTATTTGAGGGTTAGTTAACCTTGACATAACAGAGGGGGACAAAACAAATAATTGGATAGGCACTAGACAAATGTGATGTGAAACAATCCTGAGACCAACTCTCAATGACCTTTACAAGGGACTTGTTTTATAGACTGTTCTGTTGTGTTACAACACTGTTGCCTTATAGCAGTGGCTCTAGACCTTCCTAATGCTGCGACCCTTTAATACAGTTTCTCATGTGGCAACTTTCAAACATACAATTATTTTCGTTACCACTTCATAACCTCAATGAATATGTGTTTTCTGATGGTCTTAGGCAACCCCTGCGACAGGGTCATTTGAGCAACCAAAAAAAATCACGACCCACAGCTTGAGAACTGCAGCCTTATAGACTGTTGTTTACAACCCTGTTGCCTTATAGACTGTTGACTTGTGTTACAACCCTGTTGCCTTATAGACTGTTGTGTTACAACCCTGTTGCCTTATAAACTGTTGTATTATGTTACCTTACCAGATTGTTGTATTGTTAAATTATCTTTGCATTATAGACTGTTCTTATATTATCTTTGCCTTAAGATTGTTATATTATTAAATAACCGTTCTCTTACAGACAGTATATTATACTACACTATATTCCTCCCATGCAGATATCATCAGTGGTAAGTGAGCATTGTAGTGATAGTCTTTCAAACGAGAGGAGCGGCTGATGAAACGGTTAAGAGAGACCCAGGTTCGAGTCCTCGGTAGGGTTGGGGATTTTTTTTTCTGTCTTGGGCAAAAATAAAATTATAACCTGTGCTGACAGCACTAACCATGCAGCCCTAAATCCTAAGGCTCATACCCCCCTTCCCCCCCCCCCCCCCCCCACCCCCCCCCCCCACCCCCCCCCCCCCCACCCCCCCCCCCCCCCCCCCCCCCCCCCCCCCCCCCCCCCCACCTCTTCCCCCCCCCCCCCCCCCCCACCCCCCCCCCCCCCCACCTCCCCCAAAACCCCCCCCCCCCCCCCCCCCCACCTATACTGCAAGAGTGGTAACTGCAGGCAGTAATAAGTCTTTTTTTTTTAAAAATTGAAATTGATCATTTTATCCCAGTGTTGGTTCTAGGGCCTCATTGTGGGAGAACAAGAATAGATGCATTGTGCGCCGCCCCCCCCCCCCCCCCCCCCCCCAAAAAAGCATGTTGGAAAAGTTGACTAATTAGAGTTGTTTCCTTTGAAGTCAGAGTACATCTGCTTGCGAGGCAAGGAACCAACATTCTGCTTATAAATAAGCTAGAGCGGTAAAATGGATGTGCATTCAAACTGAATTTCTGGAACAAGACTACACGTGAGTAGTAGAAAAACAGGCAGGACTTTCCGCTGGAGTGTACAGCGGTGAATACTAAGAAGAAGTAGACCCTTTTATAATGATGGCTAATTTAGCTTAAGCATGGTGTTTACAAAGCCATTTTATTCGAATAGTTTGTCAGGCATCTGCACTTTAATATTCAGTAATGCAGGTAAACTAACTCAGAATAAACCTTCATTCCTTGAGCAGTCCTAAAATTGGTACCAGGAAATATTCTTGCAAGTAAAGTTGACTACCACGATATTAAATCCATTAGTGCAGATTGGTTGAAATAAATATGCCAAATATTTGCATTTCATTATAACAGTCAGTGTGCTAAGCCATCATTTTATAATAGTTTCTCCGTATGGGTTCCAGGACCCCGTTGAAGTGGGGAGAATAAACCAACTGTCCTGCTAACATGCACCTTCTATAAGGTGACTAATTAAGGATGTTAGCTTCGACCTCATAATGCGTCTGCCTGAGATGCGAGGAACCAATAGTCTGCATATAAATAAGCCAGAACTGTAAAATTGATGTGCATGCGCAATAAGTTCTGGAAAAACAAAGTCCAGAAGAGGATGAACAACCATAATTTTTCACTGGGGTTTTCAGCCCATGAACGTGAAGAGAAGAAGATAACTGTTTACTAAGCCATTTTATTACAAGAGCTTTTCTCTTTTAATATTTAGAAATGCAAATAGGAAGCTCAGTTCAGAGACTTGTGACTGCTGATGGAACCTACGCCACCCAGAGTGCATTCAGCACTCGCAGTTCTGTCAAGAAGGAAGAGGTGTAAGTCATCATAACTTTTCAAAGGTTTCAACTCTTTGAGTCCCAAGGAACGCATCATACGTTCATAGGTTCCTACCTAGAAGCCCAATGAACGCAAGATGCGCCGATTTTATTACTTTCTTTACTACCCCCTGGGCCTGTGATGCTAAACCCCCTGGGACTCAAAGAGTTAAAGAATATTATACAGTGTGATCTCTCTTTTCTCTGTTGCTTCCAGGACAACAGGGTACCCAAAGTAATACGTGGTTTGGCAATAAATTTCTCTGATATAACCATCTTATAAGGTTAAACAGGGTATCTTTGATTTGTTCCATTTCTACTGGCGTCTGCACCGTGTCAATATCTCTCACTGTGGTATCAGATTTGTCTGTAGCAGTCCCTGATGGGGAATACATTTTAAAAATTTATGTTCTCTTCTTCCTCCTCCCCCTCCTCCTTCCTCTTCCTCCTCCCCCTCCTCCCTCCTCCTCCTCCTCTTCTTCTTCTTCCTCCTCCTCCTCCTCTTCTTCTTCTTCTTCTTCTGTCAGAAAACTTATATAAATGGAGGCTGGTAGCCTTAATGAAAGCAATATTGCAGTCCATATTTCCTTGTGCACAATACAGCTTTGTTTTCATTGAGGTTGGAACAGGACAGACTGATTCTCTGTTAGCAGCATACTTTACAGTGTTTAAGTACATGCTCAGCATTTTCTGATACCAAGTTGGAGGGACACATCTGTTTCCTACACAGGAACACTGGACCATATGTTGGTGAAGACTTTTGTGCCTTGCCACTAGTCTGAATATTGTCCCTCTCTAGAGAAGCGATGAAGTCTTGGGGAGACAATTTGTTTCGGATATCCAGCTGCCTTTCTTGGAAACTAAAAGTAAAAACTGCCTAAACATGTTGTCACTTCTTTAAACTCTCTTGGCTGTAGTTTACAATTTGTCTAACTGTTCTTATACTTTAACACATGTGTGTATCACATGCTAGCATGAAGGTCATTTTGGCGTCACTATATAGTATTCCCGCAGAAAGTAGTGATGTCCATTTTGTCATCATCATGCAGCAGGTCCATTGCAGAACATCACTCCCATCACAGCCTGCCTGTCTAAAGCTCAGTCCCTCGCCAGATCTCCCACCTCGGGCACTTTCCTACCCAAGGTGTCACTTAATCCTGTGTCCACCTATATCCGGTGTCCACTTACATCCTGTGTCCATCTTTGTGCTGGTCAAACCCTGCCTTCTTTCTTGGCATCACTTTTCTTTCTAAGCGCCATGGCACTTGATATTGTCAGATTTTCCCCAGACTGCCAGTGGATGTTGACTGCATTGCCAGTCGAGTGCTGAGGCATGAAAAGGGTCGTGTATTACTATTTATGAGTGTGTTCTGTTGTGTATAATTTTACATTATATACTTTCATTCTTATCAGTATTACAGATTATCTATCACCTCATAGATGATGTTTATTATTGAGTATTTTTATATGATCAGTTTTTCTATGGGAAAGCTTCATATTCCTCCTGTATTGTTTACACAACAGACCTCCACTGAGAAAGGACATGATGGAGGGCGACTTCTTCATTGGAGCAGCTCTGGCCACTTCTCTGACAAAACTGGCTCTCAAGTTCATCAGTATCACAAGTGACAAGAAAAGGCAAAATGTAGGTTTCAGGAAAAGGTTCCGTTAATAGAACAGTTTGTGTTCAAGTATGTTAACTGTGGGGATTGAAAGTTTATGAGGCGAATGAGTTGGCAGCTAACTAAATGGCTTTCTGGCTTGCAGTGATAAGAGAGCTATTCACTAATCCTCTTGCCCTGAAAACACTTTTTTTAAAAAAAAAGTTTGTTGTTAAAATTCCAGAAAAAAAAAAAAAAAAAAAAAATTACAAAAACAGTTTTACACAGGTCACTTATAAATTCATTATAAAAATAGATCCGTCTACATGTTAATTTTTTTTAAAAATAACCCTTATATGAAGATATTTGAAAGGAGTAATGAATGAACATTGAACAGGGCGAAGTAATAAATTCCCTGGGGCCTTAAAAAAACTTTTAAAAAAAATACAAATCGGGTTAGTCTTGCCATGATCTGCATCACTGAGGCTTAAGGGTAAACTTGGTGTCAGCTTGGCTTTAAACAAATCTGTTTGGTTTAAAGGACCCCCTTCCACCCCCTCCAGATTAAAAAAAAACTTTTAAACTAATGTATTCATATCCTGACCTTCTTATACTTTTGCACTTATGTGAAAATAGGCAGTAGTAGCATAACTCTGTCTCTATAGATAAATTGGAAAAGAGACAATTAAGGCGAATTGTGCCTATCTTAAAGCTTTGGTTTTGCTGGTTCTCGGAGCGAAAAGATTAATTGATAACCTGAAAGCAGTAATGAATAATAAAGCTAGGTGTCCTTCCATTCTGATATTGCATCTGTGCACTGCCTCTATCATTATGTTAGTAAAATAAGATTTTACAGATGTGGTTGAATGACATATGTTTTTTGCTTGTTGTTGACTGATACCTACCTGTATGTGTAAATGTACATGTTCAGAGATAAATAGACTTGATCTGCATTATGTTTAAACTCCTCTTATTGACTACTAATTCTTGAATTAATAGTAGCAATTAATCTGTTTATTTTCTTTTTCCCTTTTTAGGCATTTGTGGCCGAAGCTATGCTCATTATGGCAACCATTATTCATCTTGGCAAGTCAGGCCTGCCTGCTAAGGTAATTTTAGTTTGTGCATTGTGTGTCATTATTTATCATTGTTTTTGTGCGTGCAGTGCAGATCGTTTATAATTAGTGCCACAATGTGTTCTGATTAATTTTGACAAGAGTTAAGAAGAATTTGTACCTGTTCACTAAATCACATCACTGTTAGAGTTTCAATAAAATTCTAGCGGAATTTTATTTCATTATGATCAGATAGATCAAAATTCTCATATAAACACAAACCGAACAGTGACCAAGCTTTTATAAACAACACTCACAGTTTGAGGCATATATGAGACATAGTTACCTTGTTTAAGAAAGTTAGATCCTCCTGCTACTTCTTTGCACATTGTGACTAGTATTCTCCACACGTCTAGTTGGTTTTTCGAGTGAATGCCATGTTTATTTGTGCTTTTATTCTTCTTCACGTTCATTTGCTGAAAACTCTGGTAGAAAATTCTGGTTATTCGCTAATCAGGGCTTTGGATTTGTTTGAGAACTTGAGTTTTGCTTGCACATCTGTTTCACATATATGTCTTATTTGTATGGGGACTGTTGGTTCCCCCTGCCTCTCTGGTGCATGCACTCTGACTTTGATGAAAACACTTATTAGATTCACCTTTTATGACATGCCTTTTTTTTGAGATAGTTACCCCCAAAATTGGATCCTAGAACCCAGTAAGTTAAATCAATAAATACAAAATTAAAAGATCCGTTATTGCACCAGTGGCGCATTAGGCAGATGGTGCTAAACTCAAACTTGTATACATCAGCTGGCAGTCATAGGGGCATGTTTACCTCCCAGGACTTTAGCTGGTACCCATTTTAGGCTGTGTCAGCTTGATAACTTCTTCTTCTCTTCCACCTTGAGAAGTACCGAGGGGGGGGGGGGGGATGTAACATTCGTTGATGAACTCTGTTAAGAGCACTATTAAGGCTGATGTTAACTTGCTAACAAACAAAGTCATTAAAACAAGAAAATTTACTTGATGCAAATTCAAAGTAATGCTGATAGTTATAACTGTCTCAGTGTTTGTTTCCTTCCAGTCAACAATATTCTGAGTTTTTGTTCTCTTTCTACAAACCCCATCCTTGCTGCCTCCAGTTTCTTCACCATTTTGTTACTCATTGACCTCCAGGCAGAAGAAGAGGTCACACATAACTGTTCAACCAGTAAACTTTTGTTTTTGCCAACATATTTATATTTTTCATGATGATGTTCGTTTGAGTAAAAGTGTTTTTGGATTCAGTGATTTTTTACTTTTTTTCTTCCATCAAATATCACTATTTTACATAACTGTTTATAACCCACAGCCAATCACTGATGATGATGTTGACCGGATTGCTATATGCCTGCGTGTTCTGGCTGAGAAATCAGAAATGATGGATGAAATTTTCAACAAGGCCTGCAGAGGCTCACTTTCTCTTATGTTGGCTGCTAAGATTGAGGAGGAGAAACAGATGCAGGAGGTAAGTTTTTCTCCCTCAGTGATGTGATCTTTGCTTTTTTACTCTATAACCTAGATGTATCTGACAGTATTCATTGATCTGATATAATTGCCTATACACTGTCTTAATTAATCCTTTCCTTTCGACCAGTAAATACCAACAAACAAACAAAAATCAGTGGGCCATGAACCCTTAGGAATTTCCGGGGGGAAAAAAAAAAACAGCAACTGTATTACACATTTCGCTAATAGATGTAAAAAAAAATTTTTTTAATCACTAAATATTAAATTTAATACTTTCTCTAGGATTTAAACAAACAAATAAACAAAAATGTTCGTGACTCATGCTGTAACAAGGTTAATCGCTGAAGCTTATGAGTAAATTTCAGAATAAATTGGCTTTCAAAAGACCACTGGAGTCATAAGAGGGACACGCCCCTCCCCCTGTTTTTTTCTCCTCTCTCCCACCCCCTCCCCCAGTGCTATCTTTAGTTACTATATTCATATCTGACCCTGTTACACACCATGCAGGTGCAGACTAGCTGTATGTCAGCATATTTACAGGGACATAACACAACCAGAAGTGACTACATTTAGGCTTCTCCCCGGGTCAAAGGATTAATTTGCTGAAATCACGAGCATCTTCCACAGGGGATTGAATCCACATTGTTCTTAAAAGTAGGTGGGTATTTTGTCACTCTACCATAGAAATGCCCCCGGAAAGTATCACACATGAATGCACGCTGAGAGAGAGAGAGAAAGGGCTTGGATTGCTTCTTTACGTAATCAGCGTGTGTTTATTTTCTATAATTTTGAATCAGTAACTATAATAAGACTACAAGAACCTTATGTCAAAAAAGTTGCTGGCAGCCATGAACACTCTACAGTTAACAGAAAAAAAGAGTAGTAAACCATTGCTAAACAGGGTTTATCAGACGCCGTACACTGAGGAAGGTACTGAAGCTGGGATCCAAGTGCTTATGGACCTGTCTGATCTGCAGCCGGAATGATCAATCCATTAATTCAACCAGCTAACCTAACTTATTTTCTGTAATTAAATGTAGATTAGATTTTGCAGAATATATTTGGATTCTCAGCATGGATAATCTTTTTGCAGGCTGCCGAACGTAAAGTAGTGAAAGTCCATGCCGATGACCCCATTTCCTTCTCACAGCTAATCAACAGGAGTGACCAGGGTGCTGGAGAGGTAAGGTCATATTTTTCTGACAGATTGTTGTGGTGACAGGTTGTACATACAGGATATCGTTGACAGTGATAGCAGATTAAACTGACACAAATATATCCACAATTTACTATAGGCAGTTAGAAAATCTGATAAAACATAACATAGAGGTGATATTGATTGTTTAGATCACAAGTCTGAGCTGAAAGTAACATGTTTATCATGCAAGTCATCAGACTGAACTAAACACCACAGCCATCTGACATGAGAATGATGTTTTGGGAGATTTACTAAGATGCCATCAGAATTCATTAGTTGGTTGTCCATTCACATTCATAATTACCAGAAAACGAAACCACAGATGCAATTTCTATGAAAGGAGCAGAATGTGAGCAGGAAGTGATTGCAGTAACTTTCTTTGAGAAAAAAATGGTCGTCCAGTCTATCAGAAGTGAACAGAAATCTGGTCAAAGATGACTACCACTTACTTGAACAGCATGGGCAGGTCATTATTCTATCTCTCAAGACAGGGCATTGCAAACTTAACAAGTATATGCATAGGCTTCATGTAAGTAGTTCCCCTCTGTGCCCCTGTGGGCTGTGTGTGCAGACTACAGAACATGTCCTGCGAGAATGCCCCTTGGACAAACCATTAAGAAGGGAATACTGGCCCGCTGAGTCAACACTGTTCTCAAAGTTGTATGGAACTAAAAAGGAACCCTTAAAACAGTCAAATTTATCACAAGAACTTGTCTGTTAGTATAAATGAGAAAGCGAACACAAGAAAAAGAAGAGCATTTATAATTTAAAAAAAAATATATATATATAAAAAAATTAAACTAATTTTGCAGGTAAATGAAGTCTGCAAGCCTACTACTATATATCTACTATTAAGTTATCTTGTATTTGTACAGTGCATGCCTGTTACAGATGGCTCGACACAGTATATTTGAAATCAAGTAGGAAAGGTATTAATGGAACAGTTTTAAATCTGGTCGGATAATTGCATATAGGAGTCTAAGAAGTGACATGGCTTTTAGAAGTTTTCACTCCAACCTAGTACTGAAGTGCTGTTTCCACCGTGATTGTTTGTTTTGCATGCTCTCTTTTCCATGCTCAGTAGCCAGCTGTATGTGCAACTACACAACCACAAGTAGACGTGTCTTCTTCTTCTTTGTTTATCCTTAGAGAATTGTTGGCACATTGTGTTGGTTATTGCAGTTGCTTAGACAATTTAGCACTCTTTCCTGGGTGTACATCAGATTTATGAGAATACCCTGGACAGATAAAAATAGTAATAAAAACGTCTTGAAAGAAACTGATTCACGAAGAGAACTGACTGTCCACATCAGAAAGTGACAGCCTACATTCTTTGGTCATCTGATGAGAAGAAGAAAACTGGAGGACATTGTGACAGTAGGAAAAGTTGGAGGGGAAGTGAGGCAGAGAGAGACCGAGAGAAAAAAAGCTGGACAATTTGACATCATAGCATGGAGGATCATCTGAATCAGAGTTGATTGAAAGTACTTGAGACAAAAGGTTGTGGATAGTCATGACTACCAACGCCACACGGCATGGAGGATCATCTGTATCAGAGTTGATTGAAAGTACACGGGACAAAAGGTTGTGGATAGGCATGACTACCAACGCCACACGGCATGGACTTTAAGAAGAAGAAGATATCAAATTGCAATTGATTGTTAATCAAAGGCAATTGTTGAATACTTCAGCACTTACAACACTTGTTTAGGGGGAAAAAACTGCAGTTACTGCCTATATTTAGCAGTTTTATTGTGTAGGCAATGGGATTTTGAGCCTCCGGATTCAAGTTCACATGGCCAGCACTTTTGCGACAGACTGTGCATGTTCTAAGGATTTTATTATTACCTGACAAAAAAAATAACAACCTATAATACTGCTGAGGATTCGAATCTGGGTCTCCCGCACCGTATTCTAATCATTTGGTCGCCACAACACGACTGTATTACTGAGAGTTAGGTTTTCCCAAATCTGAACGTGCTGCTTTAATCTACGCTAAAACCGTGTTAACACAAATTTTAAAGGATTGAAAATGGAATTTATGGTATCAACAATTTGCGCCTACCTGGGACTAATAATAATACATCCCTACTGGGAATTTTACATCCACGTTAACCAGTTTTTTTAAAGCAAGTTCGTGTTAACAAGGTTTTTGCTGTATTCATTGTAAATTTGTTTCTGTTAGTTTGTATCTTAAAAGATATCAAACCAAGTGAAAAGTATACTAGTCGGCTTCACATTATCACACTCACATAGGACAAGTGAACGTTGCAGCTAGAAAGCCATTAGCACATGACATAAATAGACAGTGTTACAGTTACAAACACACCCAAAATCACCTAACTGTGGTTTCTCCAAGAAAAATCCACTTATTTTGGCCAGTTGAAACTCTGAGACACATATGAACATAGGAAATATATAATAGTCAGAAAAATTTGTGAAAGGGCCATACGTGTGTAATGTAGTAAATTATTTCTGTCTTCTTATCAGAATATGTTCGAGCTGACTCTGTCGCAGGCTTTGGGTGTGAATGCCAAGAAGGACAGTGACCCGCTGGGCTCTTCGAAACTCAACAAGGTAATCTACGTTTGTTTTCCTAAGTGCTCTCTTTTTGTCTCAGTTCGTTTACTCATATAAAAGTAAGTGAAGAACCCTTTTTCACGCCATCAGGTGTATTGGGTATAAAAGGCAAGACCTATATTTAATAAACCAATTGGCACTTAGTGGGTGATGTGGTCAGCATCGCGCCTGCCACTTCTACTTCCCACGATTCCACCTGGTACACACTTAAGGCTGGGTCGACCTGGAAGCCAGGGTCATTTTTTTTAAAGAAGATTAGCCAGGCACCACTAGGATCCATAGGCGAGCGTCTAGCCACTACACTGCAGCCGCTATAAAAAAGGACCATTTTTATGCCAGTGGTGCATCAGGCATATGATGCTTGAGTCACAATTTTGTTGACCACTCGGCACTCGGTGGCTGATGTGGTCAGCATAATGCTGGCCGCCTTTACTTCTTAGGACATTACCTGGTACCCTTTAGGTTGGGTCGACCTGGGAGCCAAGATCAGTTTTGAGACTAATCCAGCTCAATCCCAATTGGATTCTAAGACAGGTCAGCAAGTGAGCATCTGGCCACTCCTCTACCGTGGCTTCCGTTTACTCATTTATATAAAGTTATAATGGCTTTCGTGTCTTTAATATTATCTTGTTGTCCCCATGTGGGATGCAATTTTTAGTTATTTTGAAGCCCCACCCTAGCTTTTCGGGACCTCTCCAAGGGTGATCCTCATCCGCATGGTGGCACTTTGTGTCACCGGGTGTTTAATGCTGTATGATGTCCTGTTAGGGTAAAATCTACTTACTAACTTCTGTACCTTTGGTAGTTCACTCTGTAACGTCTTACTTAAACTGAAAAACTTCTCTGAAATTATCTGCCCCAAAGGTTTTGAGAGTAATGGAGGGCATAGTTCAGTGAAGAGGAGGCATGGACGGACCAGCATGATGAAGGACCAGCAAGATGAAGGACCAGCAAGATGAAGGACCAGCAAGATGAAGGACCAGCAAGATGAAGGACCAGCAAGATGAAGGACCAGCAAGATGAAGGACCAGCAAGATGAAGGACCAGCAAGATGAAGGACCAGCATGATGAAGGACCAGCAAGATGAAGGACCAGCAAGATGAAGGACCAGCAAGATGAAGGACCAGCAAGATGAAGGACCAGCATGATGAAGGACCAGCAAGATGAAGGACCAGCAAGATGAAGGACCAGCATGATGAAGGACCAGCAAGATGAAGGACCAGCATGATGAAGGACCAGCATGATGAAGGACCAGCAAGATGAAGGACACAGGATATCATCCTGATACCAAATACCCTGGGCATGAAAGCTCACACGGTGCAGAAGCTAGAGAGACGAGTGGGGTGCAGAAGCTAGAGAGACGAGTGGCCTTTTGGTGAGAGTGACATTTTACAAGAGACCTGCTACATAATGATGAACCCAGCATGGTAGCGGCTTTCATCTGAGCCATTTTAAACTACTAATCTGAATTTTCTGGTTAAATAATACAGCTGTAGGTTTTCATTGTGACAGATTAAATAATCTTCTCCTTCGCCTCCATTGTCTGTAGCTCTGGTGGAAAATTATAGTTGTTCATCCACCTTTGGACTTTGGTTCCTGTTCCGGAACTTTAGATGCACCTCCGTTTTACAGATCTGGCTTATTTGTATGCAGATTGTTGGTTCCTCACCTCTCAGGCAGATGTACTCAGACTTCAAATCCTCCCCCTTTTTTCCCCCTTTCCAAATGGGTCCCCGGAACCCACACAGGGTCAATCGGATAATAAAACAGTATTGTTTGGAAATAAATAAAAATGACAACACCCATCTTTGATTGCAGCTGTGATAGTTTCCCCTGTGTTGATTTTTAGGTCACACAGCTGACCGGCTTCTCTGATCCTGTGTATGCTGAAGCTTATGTGAATGTCAATCAGTACGATATCGTACTAGATGTCCTGATAGTGAACCAAACAACGGATACCTTGCAGAACCTGACTCTGGAGCTGGCCACGCTGGGTGAGTGAATGATTTATGTTTGTATATAGAGCTGCATATTTGTATTTGTTACCTGTGAATGATTTATGTTTCTTGAAGTGTTATTGCAGTTGTCTTTTGGGGAGGGGGGAGGATATTTCTGTGATCAGTGTCTTACTGGTAATTGTGTGGATAAGTTTGTTGTCTTACTGGTGTTGTGTGGATAAGCTGGTTCTATTAGTGTCATTGTGTAGATAAGCTTGTTGTATTACTGGGACATATGCCTAGCGGCCTCTTGAGTGTCTTAGAAGGGCTGCAAAGGTGACCAGAAGAGTTAAAATCAGGAATCAGGTCATAAGAGAAACAAATAAGTGCAAAATCAGTTCTAAATTACATACAAAGACAGCAAATCCAAAGGTTTGCCCATTCAGAGATAATAAATTATGACATTATGCCATATAAGGCACACACCAGTTGAGGAGAAGGATGTAGAGCACAAGGTAGATCAGGAACAAGATGGAAAGATAACATCAGAGAAACTCTGCAGCAAATGTGATGTTTGTATGGTTGATGTGACTAGAAGAGCAAGAATCAAAACCTTACATTTTCCCCGAGACCCAAAACAGTAAAAGAGGAAGTGCAGAAAAAAAAAGAATCCACTCTTGCTGGGTATGTAGAGCATGGAGACCCTGAGATGGCTGCTGCTTCAGAAGACAGAGCACAAATGAGTTGGTCCAATGTGCTATAATATCGATATGGACAATGAGTAGCAAGGAACTTACTGATATTGAGTAGGTAAGTTTGTTTTGTTACCGGTATTGTGCTAAGTGTAAAACGATGGACAGAGGAAACAGAATCCTGAGAGCCCTTAGATCTAAAGCACACTGACAGACACTCCCTCTAATTCTTTACCTCAGCCTGCAAGGTACCAGAGGACTGAGATGAGTAGGGGTATTTTTGTAGACCATTGTGTCACTAACAGGGTGTGAACTGCTTTTAACTACAACACAACCTAGAAAAGCATGAAGTCCACAGTAAAAGAGGACTGAGATGCGATCAGATATTTTTGTAGATCATTATGTTACTGACCCAGTTGTTTTATATGGCTCTGAAACTTGGATCACAATGAAAAGAGATGAAGCCTTGCTACACATTTTAAAAAAATAGTTTTATGACAAATCTTTACACCCATCGGAGATGCAAACAGTGGGAATGGAGAATGAGAAACAATAAGGAAATTCATAATCTGTTTAAATCATCATTGATCACCGATATCCAAGGTGAGAGAAGATTAAGGTGACTGTTGTGTTACTGATGGTTTGTGAATTGCTTTTAACTACAACACAACCGTGGAAGGCATGAAGTCCACAGTAACAAACAAAAAAAGCAGTTCACAGACTGTGGTAACACAGCGGAATACACAATTTCTCGCCTAATCTCAGATCTTTTCTTACAGTGGGCTTCATGCTTTCCCAGGTTGTGTTGTATTAAAAGTTAGTTACATGACCTATACGGCAGGCTTGTCAAACATGTCGCTGTTTGCAAGTACACCTGCAGCCTGCAATGAAAATATTCTGCGATGATTTTGATTAGATGACTTCATATAATTGTTGTGTGCGGCCCTCATGACAACATAAACATGACCCATGCGGCCCTCAGAGAACCTTCAGTTTGACATGCCAGCTACATACAGGATTTTACAGACCACCATTTGCTGGCTGCTTATGGTTCCACTAGGAAATGTTCCCATTACTCCCCGAAAGGTTGGTGCCCCATAACATTGTTGAAATGTATGCAAAGTAATCTGCTGCCAAATTGCCACCAGCTGAAATCCAACAAGGTAATTCAGATTTACAGATCACGTTCACATTGCAATTGTTGTTACTAGCCTCATAAAAAAAAAAATACAATGACTTATCTTGATCTGTTTTAACAGGTGACTTGAAGCTGGTAGAAAAACCCCAGCCACTGACACTTGCTCCTCATGACTTCTGCAACATCAAGGCAAATGTCAAGGTGACATCAACTGAAAATGGGATCATTTTTGGCAACATTGGTATGTCCAATTATCATCTTGTTCTTGTGATGTGTTATGATTTGATTTTTTCTTCATGGCTACAGAGGTTGATCTCTGACAGTTTCATTTCTGATGAGCTTTTATCATCAGAGAAATCCCTGTGTGGGTTTCGGGCCCCATTTGGGAAAAAATAAGCATGTTGTAAAAGGCGACTAAATAGGGTTGTTTCCTTTCAAGTAAGGGTGCATCTGCCTCGGTGGTGAGGAACCAGCAGTCTGCATAAAATGTGTAAAATGGATGTGCACACAAAACTCCAAGTTCTGGAACAATATCAAAGTCCAAGGTGGATGAACAACCAGAACTTTCCGCCGGTGTTAGACAAGCTTGTTAGCCTCTGCAGTGCCCCAGATCCCTTGAAGCTTTGTGGTCCCCAGAATGAATGTCTTATTGAGGAGCATTGGAATATATTTTATTCTAACCTTCCCTTATGGGTTCCAGGGCCACTATTGACTTTCAGTCCCAGACAATATTTGTAAAGAATGAGACATTTTTGTTTACATTCAGTTATCTAAATTATTACAGTGCTCTCTGAAATTGTATCCCTCAGTTTATGATGTGAGCGGCGCCGTGAGTGACCGCAATTGTGTGGTGCTGAATGATATCCACATTGATATCATGGACTACATAGTGCCAGCCTCCTGTACCGACACAGAGTTCCGCCAGATGTGGGCAGAGTTTGAGTGGGAGAACAAAGTCACGGTGAACACAAATATTGGGGACTTGAAGGAGTACCTGGAGCACGTTATGTCCTGCACCAACATGAAGTGTTTGACCCCTGAGAAGGTGAGCTTGCTCGTGTATGATTGCTTGTTCGTACTCAGTTGTGATTGCTTGTGTACAACTTGTTGCGATTGCTAGTGTATACCGTGTCTGGGAGACAGTTTTAAATGGTATAGGAAAATAAGGTTGACTATAATAGAGCTGATACTAAAAACTAAACACATGCGTCACAGAATATGGCTAGGAGTCTCTTGAGAAATGCACACAGATGTGTCTTCCAGGGCCCTGGGGAAGGGGGGGGGGGTGTAAGAGATGTTGTTAGAAAAACAATAAGGGACAGTCACAAATGAAGAACTAGGAACAATGGATGGTAGGTACATTACCAGTAGATGATTTCATAGAACATCAAAGAATCAAATGGTTTGGTTATCTGGTCAGAATGGAACTAAATCACCCAGAAGTCAAAGCATGCTACATGAGAAATCAAGGCAAGAGGCTCATGTAGAGATATATGGATGGAGGGAGTAAAAGAGAGAATACAGAAATAATAAAAGACAAGAAACTACACCTAACTCCTCTCTGTGATGCTTTGTGGCATAAGCAGTAGGACAAAAGAAGAAGAAGAAAAGGTGGCTAACTGGGATTTTGTTGAAACTGGAAATGTTGGGCTGAAAGTCACAGATATTGCCACCTAGCCATAAGCTGTAACCCAGTGTGCCGACCAACGTCTTAAAAACATAAGTAGAAGAAGAAACCAGACTTTGTCAGCTAGAAAAAAAATCCCACACTACAGGAAAAAATAAAAAAGGAAAACAGACAGGGTCAGATAATCTACACTGAGAGCCTGTACATTTATTTTCATTAATTTATGTAGGGTAAGATTTGTTTTCTTAAACAGATATGACGCTTTTACTTCCCAGGACTTCACCTGGTACCCATTAAGGCTGGCTCAACCTGGTAGCCATGGTAATGTTTGAAAAAAAATCCGGCTGCATGCAGATTTGAATCCATGACCTTCATATCTGTAGACAAGCATCTAACTGCTACACCACAGTGGCTCCCCAGCCCAAAGGAGGAGATCAGAAAACTAATGAGTAGTTCACAGCGCCGTGAATCTTTGAATCCAATCACAGAAAAGGTTACTGCACAATGAATCTCACCCTAGGAGAAATAGTATGCTACAACTACCTTTCTTGAGGGCATCGAGAAATACTACCATTGTTTTTCTCCAGTCATTTCAGCACCAGCACCAGTAGAGGAGTTTTGTATGTCACTGTGACCTTGAGAGTAATGTTGTTTGCACTAGCAAGTATAGTAAGCAAATTGACCTGTATTGATTGGCGCTTCTCCCCATGTGGGTTTCGGGGCCACATTGGGGGGGGGGGGGGGGGGCTAGACTCACTGTGTGCAATTTCTCTCCCCCTCCCTCCACTATAATGTTGTAAAAGTCTTACTAATTAGGGGTTTCTCCTTTAAAGTCAGAGTGCTTCTGCCTGAGAGTCTACATACAAATAAGCCAGATCTGCAAAGCGGATGTGCATGCAAAAACTCCAGTTCTTGAACAAAACCAAAGTGAAGAAGTGGACGACAACCAAAACTTTCTGCTGGAGTTTTGCAGCCGGTGAACACAAAGAAATAGAAGATTGGCATTCATAGAAATAGAGAGACAGGACACACTAGACTACATAACAGTCAGAAGCTATAGCTACCTTACAGGGAATTGAACCTGTCACCTCATAGTGATGACAGTACCTTGCTGCAGGAACAAGTTCTGCTTCAGCAAAAGCATAGCTGCTGATGTGTTTTGTCATGCTGGACAGTTGGAATAGTAGGGACCAGACTCTTGAGAGAAACAAGCTGTCTTACAGGGAGACATGAGACAGTCAAGTGATAGGAATATAGTGTGTGCAGAAATTCTTTATATCAGAAAAACTGAACCTCAGGTGTAGCGAAATGGTGCAGTATGTGCTATTTACCTTATAGTTTTGATACACTAGTATGAATGCTGTGTATCTCTGTATGGATTCTGGGGCCCCGTTTGGGGGGGGGGGGGGGTCATCATCATTATCAATTGCCTTGCCAGCTCAATTCCACTGATGATATTTCTCCACGCCACTGTCTTAAGCCATCCACCATAATTTCTCTTGGTCTGCCTCTGTCTATTCTACTAGTGATCTTTTCAGTCATCACAGTATTTTCCAGTGCTCATTTTCTTATCACATGACTGAAGAATTTTGCTTGTCTTCTGGGGTTTGAAAAAAAAAAGGTAGATCACTGCCCCCCTAACAAGCATGTTGTATAAGGCAACTGAGGTGTTAGCTGAAATAAGATGTGTTAGACCAGTGACTCTCAACCTTCCTAATGTGGCGGCCCTTTAAAACAGTTCCCTCATGTTGTGGCCACCCCCAGACAATTATTTTCCTTCATAATTTCAATGAATATATCTTTTTTGATGGTCTTTGGCGACTCCTGTGAAAAGGTTATTTGACCCACAAAAATAGTCACGACCGGCAGGTTGAGATCCACTGTGTTAGACCAAAAGGCACACAGATATTGCAGCCAAGCTGTAAGCTACAACACAGTGTGCCATCTTCCCTTGTAGGGTGAATGCATAAGTAGAAGAAGAATGCTGTTTCTGTTATTGCATAAGGTTAACAAATCGTAGGTCTGTATGTAAAACAGTTGTGTTTTCCTGTGATGTTTAGGTCGAAAGTTCTGATTTAAATCCAGGCCTTTTGAGCAGATCTAAGGTGAACAAGCCTAACCCACAGAGGGAATAGAGTTGTGCCTATTTTATTTATTTCTTTCATTACCTTGTAGTATACTTCCAGACCTCTTTACTTTGTCGTTGAAGCTACATGTCATCCTCATTCTGCTTACCATCTTCTCTGAGAGAATGATAGGTGTCCCTGCTAATTTACCCTTCTTAGCAGTTTACAGATCCTATTAAATTACCAGTTTTTGCCATTTTTGCATGTTAACAATTTTCAGTTTGTTTAGGTGTGCATTCAGCATTCAAGCATGTAGTTTCCTATTCAGAATTTTTACCCCAAGTTTCTTTTGCTAATTAGGCTCTTTAGTGGTACCTTGCCTCATCATTTGCTTGCTTCTGTTTGAAATGTCTGGCTGCAACTTTTATCATTTAGCTGGGTTTTAGCTGGGTTCGAGTGGGTCTGATGATCACATTACAGGAGTTTAAAGTGTCAGTTATAATTACTATAATTAACTGTAAGTAGCATTGAACATTGATAGATTAATATTAATTTGTTGAATACACATATAAGATTGCAAGTTGCATGCATCGAACAGTTTTCATACTCTGTGTCTGTTAACATATTACGCAGGACTAGCATGAGTGGCTGTTGTAAAGATGGTGCCATAAGTGTGTATATCCTTTGTTCCTATATTATCATATACGTGTGGTATAGATGCGGTGACTGTCATGCCCTGTATGTTGTAGGACAGTGGTGACATGGTCTGTCCTGGATAGCATCTTTTGCATCTACTCCTAAGGGGATTGTTGGCACTTTTTTTTTTTTTACAATTTAGCTGTCACATCTGCACCTTTCGCCCCAACACATTGATTCTAGCGAAACCTTAATTAGCCCCCCCCCCCCTTTCTTTTTTCTTTTTACGTGCTTCCTAGGGGGTAGTAGTTCTGTTTTTTGCTTCTCCCAAAATGGGGCCCCGGAACGCATACAGATACCTGTATATGCATCGATGTTCTGGTATGGTTTGTGTATTCTCTCCCCATTTGGACTAAGGTGGCTTTTATTATAATTTTTTATTTAACCATTTTATATACTAGTTTTATTGTTTCAGGTAGTATTCCTTCCTACTTCTTCTTTGCCAGGGATCTTGCAACAAACTGAAATCCATTGAGATAGAATTTGATTATTAAGTTAGCATTTGGAATTATCACAGCCTTTAGCAGAGAAAGCATTTTTTATCTTCAAGAAGTGAAAACGTGTGACTTGAAGTAATGAGTTTAGATATCTACTGTTGTTATTAAACTTTTACTTTCTTTTGCTAATGGCCTGTAAGTAAAGAGATAAATAAAATGTGGACATAAGCAAGCCATTTCAGTTTATTGCCTGGAATATTTTGCTGGATCTCATCAGCATATGATGAACTACAAAAACTGAATAAATCCTTTCCACTGAAATAGGCAGATCACATTGTCCTTTCTAGTTTCACTTACAACTCACTGACAGAAGTTCAAGATTAACCATGTGAATACGATGAAAGTTTAGAGATTTACACTCATAACAAGAAAACGCTTTAAATGTGGCATCTGTTTATATGGAAGATTTTGACAATGGCAGGAAATAACTGTGGGTTCAAATCTTGTAGGAAAGAAAAAGAGTGAATCTACCATATTTCTCCATGTATAAAATATGTTTTCCAAAAGCTTCAAGTTTAAAATTCAGGGTTGCCTTCTACATGGAATGTGTTTAAAATATTATATTTCCAAATTTTGGGCTAACAAAATGGGATTGTCTTATACATTGAGGTGTCTTATAAACTGAATAATATGGTAAATGTATATACACCATTATCTGTATAAATTATAGTATTAAAAATACTGTCATCTTTCTGTGGTGTAGAATACCAGATTTGTTTGATGACTTTGAAGGGAATATGAGTTTGGGTATTACTACAGACATTCCCCCGTGTGGGTTTAGGGGCCCCATTGTGGGGAAAACAAGAATAGACCCACTGCCTCCCCAAAAGCATGTCGTAAGAGTCGACTAATTGGGACCTTCCTTTGAAGTCGGAGTGCATCTGCCGGAGAGGCAAGGAACCAACAGTCTATATTCAAGAGAATGAGATCTGTAAAACTGATGCACACACAACGCTCAGGTTCTGGAGCAGGACTGCAGTTCAGTAGTGGACGAGCAACCAGAATTTTCCGCCAGAGTGCACAGCTGGTGAACACAAAGAAGAAGAAGACTACAGACACTTAATTTATTTTTTTTAATGATTGCACAGAAGTTTCACTCATTATCCTTTGGTTATATCCCTGTTTGTAATTGTAATATGTCTATTCCTGTGATATGCTGATGAGAGATTTCCAGCCGCAACATTCACTTTTGTGTGTGTATGTGTGTGATTGTTATACCTTAAAGGTGACTAGTTCTGCTTTTTTGTTTATTTTGACGTCTTTTCATAAAAGTTGTTATCCTACGATTTGGGGAAGGAGGAGGATAACTGCTATTGCGCACTAATGTCACCCTAGGTTCTTCAGTCTCTTGCCGTAAATCATATGGTGAGAATGTCAGCACAGTACACATACATGTGTTTTTAAAGTCCATGATGTGTGGCGTTAGAAGTCATGTCTATCTACAACCTTCTGTCTCGTGTACTTTCAGTCTACTCTGACACGGATGATCTTCCATGCCATGATGTCAAACTGTTCAGCATCTATTCTCTCGGTCTCTCTCTGCCTCTCCTCCCCTCCAACTTTCCTACCGTCACGATGTACTCCAGTTTTCTTCTCATTACATGACCAAAGAATGTAGATGGTCTCTTTCTGATGTGTGCAATCTGTTCTCTTCGTGAGCCAGTTTCTTTCAAGACATCTTAATTACTCTTTTTATCTGTCTTGGGTATTCTTATCATTGGTCTATGAAACCACATCTCCACAGTTTTCTCTAATTTACTAACTGTCCATGATCCTCATCCGTAAATCAACACATACACACTATAAATGGTGCTGATCTAAATGTGTGTATACAAGAAACTTGCATACTGTGAATATACTTTGGGGAGTTGGTTTTTGTAATATTAAACTGCTTCCAGGCTGCTGTCAGCTAGGCAGTTGTCTATTGTGGTCTGGTAGTGACCTATTTAGCTGGCCATTGACTTGTTCTTTTGTGTTTCCAGTAACCCTTTTTTGTTTTAATGTGCATACAGGTCCTCCAAGTTTAAAAAAAAAATTTTTTTTGTACCCTTATCTTAGAATGCTAGACATGTCATCCACTACCTTATGATCGGGGGGGGGGGGGGGGGGGGGGGGGGGGGGGGGGGGGGCGGAGGGGGGGGGGGGGGGGGGGGGGGGGGGGGGGGGGGGGGGGGGGGGGGGGTTAACCATATTTTCTTGTTTGTGAAAGTCCATACAGTTCACGTTATGAATTACACCAGGTCATTATTTTTGTTGTAGGCGCTGTCCGGAGACTGTGGGTTCATGGCTGCCAACATGTACGCTCGATCCATCTTTGGAGAGGATGTGCTGGCTAACCTCAGCATCGAGAAGCCCCTACATCTGGGCAAAGATGCTTCTGTCCAGGGTCATGTGAGGATAAGAGCAAAGAGCCAGGTAACTTTCTGCAGTGTTGTTTACACATCTCTTGTTCCTCTCTTGTGGGTTTTGTGACCCCATTTTGTTGGGGGGAATAGACCCCACTGAAATGATTCATTTTATTTTCTCGGCAAGAGGACATTAGATCACAAATAACTGATTATAAATTATGTTCATTTAAACATCATCTTCATTGCACATCGGACATGACCATAAATGAATTATGTGCGAAAAGTTGAGTGGATGATTGTCGCGACAGACCACACTAACTTCAGGAAATACGTGAAATTGGCATTTGTATGGTGTCTTGTGAAAAACACGAGAATATATGAGGTGATATTAAAAAGTTCATTGGGGGGGGGGGGGGAGGTTGTAGATAAACTATCCTAGGTTAGGTTAGTTGCGTATCCTTTACAGGACGTTGCAGAACCGACCCCAACAGCCCCTGGCTGTTGTGTGATTTTTCTAGGCAAATTTACATTCACTAGTTAGACTATCCTAGAGTGTTAGAAAAATCAGTTCTGCAAAGGTGCATCAGCCATATCATGTCAGACTCATGTTTCTTATAGACCAGTCAGCACTCGATAAATGATGCTGTCAACAAACATCACACTGGCTGCCTTAACTTACCTGGCCATTTCACAGTATCCTTTTTGGCCGGATCACCCCCAAGTAGCAAAGGTAAATTTCCCCCTAAATCAGCCCTGTATGGCTTCAGACTCAAGACTTTAGAGCTTGCCGGCGAGCGTCTGAAGATTCCAAAATATTGACTACAAGAGTGTGTACCTAGTTGTATTGTTTCCTTCCTTTGTTCGGGGATTATTGTAATATGCTGGTGGTCTCTCTGTTTCAGGGCATGGCTCTGAGCATGGGAGACAAGATTAACCTATCACAGAAGAAAGCTGCTAAAATGGTTTCTGCTTAGTTGGATCTGGCCACTGCACTGAACCATTCACCATTTCTTGATGAATACATTGATTTGTACTAGAATTATGTATTCAAATATCTGTTGTTTATTGAGGGCGTGCTGTGAAGGGAGACACTTGAAAACCTAGTGACAGTTGACAAATCTGATGGGGAGAAGAATAATGACACTTAATTTGTTGAGGGAATTACAATTTGCAGAAGAAGAAATAAAAAGTATGTATTTGGATTGGGGGGGGGGGGGGGGGGGGGGGGGGGGGGGGCAGCATAAAGAACCCAAAACTGAACAAAAAGTCAAGAGAGAAACAATGAAGGAAAGACTAGAAATCGTAATAGATATATAATTGGGAAATACTAGCTTGATTCCATTCACTTAAATTAGAGAATTTCAGTAGAAAAGTCATTATCTTAAATGTTTGACATTTTAATAAACACATAATCACATTTCTAAACCGTTTGACATTTTAATGAATGTCATATTCAGTCTATTTGAGATTCTGACATTACCTTCCCCCCCCACACCCCCCCCCCCCCCCACCTCCCCCCCCCCCCCCCCCCCCCCCCCCCCCCCCCCCCCCCCCCCCCCCCCCCCCCCCCCCCCCCCCCCCCCCCCCCCCCCCCCCCCCCCCCCCCCCCCCCCCCCCCCCCCCCCCCCCCCCCCCCCCCCCCCCCCCCCCCCCCCCCCACCCCCCCACCCACCCCCCCCCCACCCCCCCCCCCCCCCCCCCCCCCCCCCCCCCCCCCCCCCCCCCCCCCCATGTAATTACATACACATTTTCCGACAGATATAATTTATAAAGAATCTAAAAAGATAGAAATATGGTTAACATTTTATGTAACTTACCCAAACAATTTTTAGTTATGCTTATTATTGTGTATGCTTAGGGTGATTTGAAGGTTCACTTTCATATTATTTCCAGTTTCTATTGTGTGTTTTAATATATTTTATTAATTAATGTGAATATTAATTGTATTCTAGGGGAAGACGTTCATTTTAGGTGGTTTACTTACAGCCTGTACTGACATTTGATTAGTATGGTAGATTATTGAAACCTTAGAAGTACACAGTTAGATAAATGTTTGATGTACTCATTGAGATTGTATTTGTATTCCTATCTTTGATATTATTGGCATAGAAAGCCAGTCACAGAGATGAATGGAGACAGTTGATTTCTGCAGCAGTGAACCTCAGAATGCTGAAGAAGATAAAGATTTCTTATATAAGTTGTTCTTTGTTCTGGAAACAGTTGAGCAGAGGTTTTCTAGTGTCAGTTCTGACTGTTCTCCTGATCATGTTCAAATAATTTCAGCCTATAACACAGTATAGGAATCATAAGGGATGTAATGATTGAAGCATCAGTAATTAGTCCCCTCAGTCAGTTCTGTGTCCTTGCCAGTCTGCACAAGTTAGAAAATACAAAATCCTGTCACACTGTTGTAGGTATAGTGATCAGAGATTTTCTCTTCCCTGCTTGCCTTCAACTGTTCCCCTGAGGATTACCTCTGAGAGTGTACTGTGATGTGTCTTATGTCCAAATTAGGCAACTCCTTGATGTTTCACAACTTCAACCCTTACACCCCAAGAGGCCACCCCCCTCCCCTCCGGGGAAAAAAACCCACTATTTCCGTTTGGGTCCAGTTCCCCATAAATGTCACTTTTCTGACTTGCCTATAGTAACCTGTTCAAAGGACACACAGTTAATGCTGTTGGCTGAGTTTGCTCCTGTTCTTAACTAATAGTAGCATTTGGAAAGTGGGGGTTCTTTTGAGCTGAAGTTTTTTTTTAAATTCAAGTTGGCATTAGTTTCCTGTAAGGCTCAGTGATAGAGGTCATGGGTCATCTTATATATGTGCTATTTTATGCCTGTTGTTAGCAGTAACATCAGAGAACAGGGTATTCACTCACTCTGAAAGATTGCTGAAGGTTGAGGTGCTCAGCTTAGTGGGTGTGAAAAACAAGGGGAGACTACAACATTAATACATCCCTAGAAACTAAACAGAAGCCGAAAAAAGAATCTCGTCCTGTTGCAAAAGCTGCGGTGTTTTGGCCATGTCATATGTCATTGTAGCTTGGAGAGAATGGTGATGGAGGATGGAGAAGCAGACTTTACAGAGCTGGATACAAGACATTAAAGATGTATTGGCTGTGAAAGCACATAGGGCTGGAGACTTTCAGGCGTGATGTGACAAAGACATTGAAGATGTATTGGCTGTGAAAGCACATAGGGCTGGAGACTTTCAGGCGTGATGTGACAAGAGTAAAGTTCTGTAAAGGCCCTGCTTATTGATGATGAACACCTGTATTGGAAGTCCCCATTGCTTTGTTCTAATAAGTTAAAAATTATTTGTTGACTGAATAAATCCGTTAATTGATAAGTAACATATTAAAAATTTGGCCATGGCTGAAACATTTCATTTTTGATCCATGTGAACAAATATTGTCTTTGTTATTTGTGGTTGATTCAATACAGTTTCCTTATTCAGAAAAAAATTTTCGTAGTTTATGATACCAGTCTGTTATTTAATCAGTCTGTTGTATATTTTTTCTTGCTTGCTGAATGAAGATACTAGAGGTTTCAGATGGATTTTTATCTGTACCAAACTTTATATGGTAACACACAAATCTTTGTTTTGGTAAATGGTCTAACAATTAGGTAAAAGATTACAGTTCCTTTATTTACACAGAATTGTACAAGTTCTTTTCATTCTGGTAAAGATATTTGCTAAGTAACAGAATAAAAAAGAAATATATGGGCAATTACAGAGTAATAATGCACAAAAATACTGTTTAGGACAGCACAGTTATTCCACAACTATTTCTTGATTTTATGAACCAGAAGTGGCACTCTTTATCTTTCTGTCTCAAGCACACAGAAAATCAGATAACAGATAAGAAGGTATTAGGAAGGGAAAAGAATGCGATTAACATGTTAGAATCATTACATGCAGGCAAACTATATCATTAGAATAACTAGGGTGGGAAGTACAAAGTAAAGTACTTGACCTTCAGAGGGATCCTTCTGTCAAATCTTCCTCTAAGTACTGTATTTTTCTTTGTATAAGAGGCTTCCATGCTTAAGACAACCCTAATTTTTTTTAAAGCTCAGAATTAAGAAAAAAAACAATGTTAAATTCATTTTGTTAATAAGATGACCTCCAATTCTAAACTTCCCAAAAATCTGGGGAAACACATCGTCTTATACACAATACAGTATATTAATTCTGGTAGCTGCAGCATGATAATTTTTAATGGATGAGAATAATTGGACGTAGGCAGTCAATGGTTGTTTTAGACATGTTATGAGAGGTGACGGTGGGAAAGTTAAAGGGTAAAAGAAGCAGGGGGGGGGGGGGGGGGGAACCAAGAAAGAAGATGCTGGACAGTTTGAAATCCTGGCATGAAAGATCATCTGTGTCAGAAATAACTGTAAGAAGACGAGACAGAAGGCTGTGGATAATGACTTAACTCACACAGCATGAATTTATCAGAAGAAGAAAAGAACATATCAAGACTCGAGACTCATTACTATAAATTACACAGCCTTTGGGGTAGAAAGAGTCAAAGTAATGACTACTCGAGAATAAAGATTAAAGGAACTGCAGTGTTAAATATCTTCTCTTTTTAATGTTCATGGGCTGTAAACTCCAGCCGAAAGTTCTGGCTGTTCATCGACTCTTGTTCCATAAACTGAGTTTTGTGTGTGTGTGTGCATACTCAATTTGCAGATCTGGTTTATTTGTAGGCACAGTTCATTCCTCGCCACTCAGGCAAGTGCATTCCGGCTGAACAAAACATCCCTAATTTCGCCCTTGACAGAAAACATCCCCACCCTTTAACAAGGATTGAGCCCGGATTTGCCACAAGAGCTAGTGCCTGAGCCAGTCGTTCCACATAAAGGAAACCATAAAACTGATAGCAATGTGGATTTATTACATCAAGTTCAAGTACATTTTGCAAAGGGCATCAACCTTTGCATTGCAAAAGATGGAAATTGTACTAAAGACATTTAATGTTCCAACTGAATAAAATGTTAATAAATTTCATTCCTTGAAATTACGAGTCCAGACTTTAGGGACACCAATTAGGCCAAGAAAGCAGACTTGGTATTTTTCTGAGACTGGGACTGCTACTGGCAGGTTTGACGTCGCACTGACCTGGATGTCAGTCCAACAGGAAGAAACTGGTGATACCCTGTAAAACCTAAGATCCAGTTTGTAGACTTGACGCAACAGCTGATTTACTTAGGCTCTTCAGTAGAACAATCTGTACTGCAGTGGATTCCAGGTCACTGTGGCTTGGAAGGCAATGAAATAGCAGACAGATTGGCCAGAAGCGGCAGTGACATGGTACAGCCAAATAGCGACTTAACCCACCAAGATATGAAAACACTAATACAATCTAGTATCCAAGAAAGGTGGTTGGATACCCACACCAGATTTTCTCCCCAAGACTCACTTCATCGCCTCTCTAGAGAGGGACAGTGTATTATATTCAGACTAAGGACAGGGCACAACAGATTTCGTCAACATATGTTCAAATTTTTCGGTGTAGGAAATACGGAGACGTGTCCTGCAGCGTGGCACCCGAAAATGCTGAGCATGTGCTCCAACACTGTCACCTGTATGCTGACAACAGAGACGCAATCTGGCCTGTTCCAACCACACTGAAGACAAAACTGTATGGTACACGAGAAGTTATGGATTGCACGATAGCTTTCATAAAGGCTACCGGCCTCCTGATATAAGTTTTCTGACAGAAGGATCGAAGAAGAAGAACCTAAGATGGTAGTAAATGAAAAAAATTGGATGTACCCTGCTGTCCTAGGTTAGTGAGGAATGCAAACAGAAATATCTTCTTCTTAAAGACCACCAGCGGTCAACTCTGGCCGAAAGTTCTGATTGTTTGTCCACTTCTGGACTTGTGACTTTGTTCCATGTGCATGCACATCCATTTTACAGAGCTGGCTTATTGCCTCTCAAGCAGATGCTCTCCGACTTCAA